ATTTGGGTACAGACAACGCCTGTTCTTTCTTTGAACTTACAGAAGATAAATCAGGGGATCCAGGGGTAGATAATGCTGGTGGTACTGCAAGATGACTATCATTGGTTGGGCCAGAAATACCTAGACCATTTGGACTACGATGAGGAGATAATGGTGAAGAAGGTGCCTTAGGCATGATAGGTGAACTTGGATTTGAGTCATAGATATCACTATAGACAATAGCAGGTACTTTCTCCATCGCAGGTGAATAAGCAATGATTGATTGCTCAACTTGACTATGCCTTGACGGGTGAATACTTGATCTGCGAATGGAAATGGAATAATTATCATCTGGATTAAACATGCGGACATCGTTATCGTTAGGATTTTGCATGACAGATGGAGGCACTGGGACTTGAGACATCATCATTTGTTGCTTTTCAATGGGTGGAGCAACGGGTTGTTCTGTATCCTCTGCCGGCTCAACGGAAGCAACGTACTTTCTAGACACAAAGTAGAGAATAAAAGGCAAAACAAAGTTACAAGTCTATATTAAAATTGTTAGGATGATAGGCATATCTATTATTTACTTACCGATTGAAAGAAAAGACTGCTCCAATTTTGAATTTCATTCACATAGTTTGTTGTTTGTAAAGGGCTGTTTTCTTAAGTTAAATCACTCTATATATCGTCTTTCTTTTACTTACATGCAAACAAACCAAGGAAACAAATTCGACCAGAAAACGGCCCATGATTTACTACAGATTTCACCTCGAAGTAAGTTGGATCGGATGACAATTGTAAAGACCGGAATAGAAGTCACTAATGCACAAACAGGGAACAGATACGCCATCACTTTAGATGCTTTAGAACCTATATAAACAATGAGTATAAGGTTGCTTATTTGTTTATTTACCGTTTGCGCTCAATACGGCTAAAATATCACTGGATGCATCCATTTTATATGCCATGGCGCCAAAAACACCTAATAGAAAATAAGTCATTGTATCTATATCCATAACATTACCTAGTAAGATATAGAATAAAGTAGAAATGAGGACAGATATCCACAAGCATTTATGAATGCTCACATCAGGACGCAAACTGTTGACCCATGATGGAATGGTAGTGATATAACTGTAGTTGAAAATAGCTATACCAAGCACCATACTTGCATTGGGACCTGTAATAGGTAACAGATCAGTGTCCAGACCATCTTGAGCAAATCCGACAATCCATGCAATCAATACAGCTGTCAAGACAGTAAAGGATATCATTTGGAATGCAATGTTCTCTACTAAACTAAAGAAGCCCAACGGAATGATCAATAGAGCAGATAATAGGAAGCCAAATGTAAAAAGATAGTAATCAGAACTAGGAAAAGGTGAATTGCCACTCAGACCAGTTTCATCAGTAATGCAGAACCAACCACCAGGATTAAGACTAGCACCACAAGTCCCTTTAAAGATAGCAATAATCATGTTATCAAACGTCTAACATGTATCAGATAATGCATTGAATAAATATACTTACTTGTGTAGAAATAACAATACTAGCAACATTGACAGCTTGTAATGCCAAGAAAAGCATCAACTGAAAAAAATAGTGATATTTTTTTCCGAGATAGACTTGAGCGATTGTCGTCAGTTCTACTTTAGCCTAATATTTAAAGATAAGCGAATGAAGGTGTAGCATGACCTAACTTGCCTGAAATTTCTCATTTCCTCGGATATTAGAGAGTGCCTCGCAAACAAACAGAGCAGAACAACCAGACAAGAAAGCAATGACAATAAAGATAGTCACAGGTACAATCCAGCCAGACTATATGTATATTTATTAGAAATCCTACTTGTTATTTCTTTACCGTTTGAAATAAAGCAGGAATGGTTGACAGTCCAGGTCCCTATTTAAAGAATGAATACACCTGCCAATTACAAACAAATACATTACTGTCATGGAAGAAACAAGAAGAGCAGTACTGCCAAAACTACCAATGCCTTTCACTGTAGACATAATATAAAGAGAAGAAAAAAAGATGATGACATGTAGCTAATCTTTTTAAGTTTCTCTTTATATATTATTTGATCTTTCCTTTTTTCCGACCGATTCTTTGGTAAGACTTGTTTAGTAAATACAACCATATTTAGGATTTTATTTTCAAAAGAGAGTCACACAAGCAAATTTTGTTTTTTTTTCTTTATTGTTTATACACGGTGTGTTTATCAAGTTCCGGTTTTCCGTGAACGATTATTCCAAGTAGTTAAAACGATTTCAGGTACGATTGTTTCACTGAACAACAATAACAAATACAAATCGCTGATTACCATAAAAAGATAGATTGATCTGTCGCGCCTCTTTACCAACATCAGTGAGAAAAACACGCATACAACGTCACTCATTTGGTAAACCAATCAAAGGTACATGTGTAGATAGGATGAGAAGTTTTTTTTTTTTTTTTGTATTTGTTCAATCTAGTATACTCACAAAAAAAAGGGGGTGTGTCATACCAATTCAACGCTTTTTTTTGTATACATAAATATCATTTTTGTTAAGACTAGCCTTTATGACGGACGAGAATAACAACCTTTTAGTTTCCGATCAAGCGATCACAGCAAACGCACTTTCCTCCACATACCGAGTCAAACTTTATCAACTCAATATAGACACTAACTGGGAAGACAAAGGAACTGGATTTTGTGTATATCAACTGGTAACGTTGAAATTTATACTTCCTGACGCGTCTTTCTTATTCGCGTATAGGGACAAGATGGAGAACCCGATCAGATTATTGTACAGTCTGAAGAGGATGATAGCATATTACTCAACTCACAAGTTACTAAACGACGTTTCTATCAAAAGCAACAAGGTACTCTAATAGACGCGTTTGAGCATGTTGCTTACATCTGTAAACAGAAACATTGATTGTATGGACAGAAGATGACAACCGAGATCTTGCTTTAAGTTTTCAAGATCCAGCTGGTTGTGATGAAATATGGTAGGCTACAACAAAAGTAACCAAGTCTAAGTAGTTTGCATAGGCAATATATTGGTAAAAAGCAAGATGGTATCATGACAGGAGGTTTGTTTGTTCTATCCTTGTAATTTCAATCACTCATTCTCTCTCTCATTCTTAGATATGGACAATGGCGACTTGTCACCACCAGCCAACAGTGGTCCTGAAATGACATCTTTGCCTGACCCTGAATTATCGAATCTACAGGAAATTGCCGATATTTTGATTCATGCTCGTATACAAGAAAAAGAAAAAATGGCTTCTTTTATTTCTATTGAAGTAGGTGATGAATTAGTTGTAATGATGGGAGAGTGTATTGACACTCTATAGAATTATATTGATAAACTACTACCCTTGTTCGAGACCTGTGAAGATTTAGAGGACATCAAAGATTTGCATCTTTTGTATACTGTTATGATTGGGATATGTAAGTGACAAGCTATCTTTGTGAGTTTGTTATTCATGTCTTGTTATTATTAGTGGGCCTAAATGATCAAGGCATCATTGAACAACTTGTCAGAGATGAATACCTATTTGCATTTATGGGCATATTAGAATGTGAGTCTATTTTTACACAAACAAACAAACAAGCAAAAGACTGAATTGTGTCTATTAGACAATCCAAAAACACCCAGTATGAAAGCAAATCACCGAGAATTCATAAAGACACATAGTAATACACCGCAAATTATTGAATTCACAGAAGAGTCTATTAAACATAAAGTGGATCAAACATTCAGACTTGAATATGTTCAGACAATTATTCAACAACAAATCTTGCCAGATTCACCACCTATTGATATCGAAGGACTCTTGAGTGTCCTTGGGAATCTCATCTTTCAAAACCATGTTGAAGTTGTCAGTCATATCCAAAATAATCATTCTTTCCTCAAAGAACTGTTTGGGCTTATGAAGACAGACAAAGAAAAACGATGTGATATCATGCGATTTGTGAATCAACTCTGTCAACTCACAAAGCAAATGCAGAACTCTATACGCGTCAATCTGTTTAGAGCATTGGCCATGTTTGGTCTATTTGATTTGTTGTGTTTTGCACTAGCAGATCAAGACAAGACAACACGCACAACTTCACTTAATTTACTGGCTTCTTTTACTGATCTGGACGTGGTTTCTGTTCGAAGTCATATCTTGATGCAGTCAAAAGAACAAGACAGAGAATTGAAGCCATTGATTGATGTGATTGTTGAGCGATTTGTTGTAGATGGTGACTATGACCTTAAGGTCCAATATTTTGAAATTCTAAGGCTCTTGCTGGACCCCAATAGCGGTATACCCAATAACCCAAATACAGCCAGTGGAAATCCAAATGATGTAAGTAAAGCAATGTGTAAGTTATCTGTATAGCTTATGTCTCATATTAGCCATTAAACAAACAAGTACCAGAAACAGACGAATTCTTACAGCTCTTTTATGACAAGCATACAACTACATTATTAAAGCCTGTTGATATCTTTGACATCAAGACCATGTCATTAAAAGGTAAAGCAAAAAAAAAAAAAAAAAAAAAAAAAAAGAGAGAGGGAGCAATCATAATCATACAGCATTAGGACCTATTGAACCACTCCTGATGACACAAGATCAAGCACAACTCTGTCTATATATTTGTGAATTTCTCTATTTTGCAATTAGACACCATGGTTTCCGTAGCAAATACGTTGTCTTATCTTCTGATCTGATAATCAAAATTGCACAACTCTATAGATCAAAATATGCTTATATAAAATTAGGCAAGTTGTTTATTCAATTATATGTTCACTCACCTAGATACAATAGCTGCATTGCGATTCTTTAGAGTGTGCATTGCGCTCAACGATGAATTTTACAATCGCAACCTTGTAAAGCACAATGTGTTTGAACCCACAATACGTGTCTTATTAGACACAGATGGCAGAGATTGTTTATTAAATTCAGCTTGTCTTGATTTATTTGAACATATACGCAAGGTAACAAAGAGATAGGGGTTTGTTTTGTTTCTTATGTCTCTTTAGGAAAACATCAAGTCCCTTTTGACTCATTTGGTGACTCAGTTTGGTTCCGTGCTAGACACAATCACTTATGTTCCTACTTGTAAGCAACTGAGGATGAAATATGACGAGAATCAAAGAGGAGCTGAAACGTCTCAAACTGAAGGCAGTTCTTCAAGGTAAGGCGATATGAAAGAAATGCATAGACTGATCTATGTAATTTAGTGAACATACAGATAAAAAAGCGAATCACGAAGGCTGGGTCTCCGCCACAGTAGATGATGATGAAGAAGAATATTTTAATACATCAGACGAAGAAGAAACAACATCGTCTGAACAGATACCAAAGCCTCTAGTGAGCTATGAAGACGATGAAGACGATGAAGAAGAGGAAGAAGAAGAGGAAGAAGAAGACGAAGAAGACGAAGAGGAAGAGGAGGATGGAGAAAGGACAAAAGACACACAAGAGCCATCAAGTATAGAAGAAAGACCTCCATTAACCAGAAAGAGATCAAGCGAAGAAGCAGATTTAGAGTCTATAGCCTTTAAATCAAGAAAGAAATCAAGCGAAGAGGAAGAGGAAGATGATGTGTTGGCCAAAAAGCGCACATCATCACCACGTCAATCTGTTAACAAAAAGATTGTGATCAATACTGCCAATATGAAAAGAATGCGTTCTCAATAAATTAGTATTCTTTTATTATTATTAGATGCAGAATGAGTTATATCACAAATGGTATGAATGCTATTATAAATGTATAAACAGTAGGTTTAACAAGCCAAGACAGGAATTAAGAAGCCATGCTCTTCTTCTTCATCTTCATTTTTATACTTGTAATGTGTTGATAATCCAGAAAAGAAAAGAGGCGTTAAAGATTGAGTGTTTATAGATAGCTTGGGTCTTTTGGTCTTGTTATTTACATGATTGGCTTCTTGAATAGGGGAATCAATGACACGTCTACGTGAATTAGGAATCATAGATAGGTCTAATGGCTTGATGACAGGTTTGGTTGTATTGTTGGTTTGAATAGGCACAGGTAAAACGACGGGTGTTTGTTGAGCAGGACGGAAAACGTACTTTATGGGCGATGCTGAAGCAAAGCAAGAGCGATCATATTCGTCTGCACTGTAAGTCATGATAATAGTGTCAATAGGGTGAAAGCGTACGGTTTTTAACATTTTGTATGGAAATAATCATCTTCACAACAAATTGACCTCTCTATTTATATGAAAAATGCAAATCTATTTTTACATTTTCTCTTGTCTTTGTTGACCAATCATGCGCTAGATTCATCTATTTTTAGCTGATATGTAACACATCTCAGTTAGTCTAAAAGAACTCTTGTGTCAACTAAAAAAATTCCCTTTTTTTCATTTTCCTTTAAATGTTTAAAATATCTCAACTTATTTATAAAATATGACTATTGCAACAAAAAGCCACATTTCAAATGAGTTATAAAGTTGAAGGTGTTTTTTCTTTTTGAAACTAATCGTCCATGACTCCACTGAGTTTAAAGGAGATGTACACTGTCTACGATCAAATTAGATTTGAAGAATTTTGGATAAATTTCAGTGATTTTCCTAGCTATATTATCATTGTAGGACAAATTGTGGGTTTATTGGTAAATTGAGATTTATACTTCTACAGTCATATCATTGCTGCTGCTTGTAGTATTGTTAGCGGTTTGTATGGGTATTAATTCATTCATAGTAGCACTGCGTTGAAATTCATTTGGTATTGTGGTTGCAATGTAATAATCAACTGTTGTTGTTGTTGTATTAGTGGGCTGAGTAGTCGAGTTGTTCAGATAAATTAAACTATTACTGTGATGTGTGCTGATGCTACTCGAACTTGCGCTTGTGTGCATATGGTGCCGTGAATCATGTCTTGATCTACCGACTTCCAACACGGCTTCTTTAGGTACAGCATCCAAGAATTCTTGGCGAATCGAAGGCGGCAATTCTAAGAGCAAATTCGATTTAAGAATGAAACCATAGTTTCTAAACATAAAGCCAAGAGCTAGCAATTTAAGTCCAATTTCTTCAGCTAAAATAGCCTTTTCAAAGATTACCCCGCAACTTTCAGTTGACAAATAATGCCTAAACAGCCTCTCGCAGCATAATTTCTTCAGTCGGTGTAACAAGTACATGTTGGCCATCACCATCAAATCACATATGACTTGCCAAGGTTCTGATTCATCTAATCGATCACTGTATAAGAATTTGAGAAAGGCCATAATGACCTCCACGGGTTCAGGAATCTTCATCTTTCTCTCGATTGCTTCTGACATGCCAGATTTATGGATATGTTTAAAGTGAGGCCAGCGAGTTAGCAAGATAACTTGGTGTACAAAGATTTCTTCTCCGTTCGCTGCAATGATGGAAAAATCAGATAGTTCAGGGCTGTTTAGGAGTTGGATAAATTCACTAGACGATCTTGGTTCAGCAATGTCATACAATCCCAGAGATTCTCCATGAATCACTAAAGCGTCCCTAAAATGATCATAGCCTTGAGGTCTGTATGGATCCGTGTTGCCAAGAAACAAGAGGTTATTGATGTTGATTTGCGATTCTTCAGAGAGACCATGTTTTTCATGGATAATAGTAAAGTAATTCCAACCACCTACTTCAAAATGACCATCACATTCTTGTTTTTCCCATTCAAGCGTATCAAGATCCAACATCCATAAGCTATAAGTGGTTTCTTGAAGTAGAATTTGTTGTTGCTGTTGTTGTTGCTGTTGCTGTTGTTGCTGTTGTTGCTGTTGTTGTTTTAGATAATGGGGATGATGCTGACTCAGGTATCTCCCAAACACAAGTAATTTTCCACAAGCAGTATCACAAAAGTGCTGGCTTTTCACTAGTACCATGCGGGTCTGAAGTTGCTGCTCCTGTGTGCCACCAAGTACTAAATGGGGAGTATAAGGTAACTTGGAAAGATTGACCATAAATAGATCAGAGACTGTGTTGCCTTGTTCGTCTTTGCCTGCGTAAATATACATTTTGTTGCCTATGAGTGTGGCTGAATGGTTGTACCTAGGTGGCATATCGTGAAACCTTGTCCAAGTCATGGTATTTAGATCAAGTACACAAAGTTCGTCCAGTACATAAGTGCCTAAATCCATTTTCAGCTACATATATGCTTTGTATGCTTACAATCTGAACTCTTTGCAAATCCACCATAGATCAATAGCTTGTCTTCAAAAACAGCAGCACTGTGCAAATAACGAGAAGAAATGGTGCCTGTAATGTTTGGTTGATACCAAGAAGACGTTTTCAAGTTAAAAATAAAAACATCTCCGCAATACTCTTGGTATTCATTACAGCCACCTTATATATGTACATTAATTAGTAAACAAAACAAAAAAGAAACTATATCAGGATATTGCGTCTTACCAAAAATGATAATAGAATCTCTCCACCGTGTTGCCGTATGTCCGTATCGTTTACAGGGCGGTGTACCAGTTGTATTCTATCATAAGAAAAAAAAAGACATCACAAAAAGAAAAGAAAGACTTAGGTCAAATCAGCTTTTTAACATACAAACGGAAATATAGTAACTCACCTGAATTAATTCCCAATGCATGTTTTTCAAGTCAAGATAATGGAGATCGTCCGTCACATTGCCTCCACCGCCAAATACATACAGACGTTGTTCTACTTTCACAAAAGAAGGGCGCCATAATCCAGCTAAATTTCGCCCGCTTGTTTTAATAGGTGTCATGTACATATTGAAGAAAAAAAAGTAGAAAGGAGAAAAATGCAACCAATTCTTGATATAAAATTCCCGTATTATATGCGTTTTTTTATATATATGACAATAAAAAATTACGTATTTCGGACAAATGTTGCTTTATTCTTCTTCTTTTTTTCTCGATGGCTTGTCATGAATGAATGGCATTGAGTGTCTTGATTCAAGTGATCTATAGAGAAAATGCAATGCTATTGTGATCTTGTTTACCAAAAAAAAAAGATTGATAAAAGCTGAATTCTCGAAACAGGTATTTTAAACTAAAAGGGCAACTATATTGGCTTGTGCGCTTCTCTTTATTTATTACCATTTATATGAATGAGTAAATTAATATTTTCTCCCTAATCACTTGAACACTTTTACCCCTAAAATGACCATGTGATTGTCATCGTTTGCCATTCATATCCTTTTATCTTTACTTTAGAACAGAAGACATTGATATATCGGATTGTGAGCGAAAAGACAATGCAGTTGAAGCTGTCATAAAAAAAAAGGAGTGCATGAATTCAAGGGAGGCATTCATAAAACGATTTATTGAGCAAGTAATTGTTTTTGCATATACATATATATATCTATTCCGAAAAGTTTGTATCTATAGTCATTTCATAAAGAAAAAAAAAAGGAAGAGTTATTTCAGTTTTTTTTTTCAGACGCAAGATGCCGTTCATTTCATCAAATCATGCAAAGAGCTTTCTAACTCTTGAAATAAATGCATCTTGTATATTAAAGAATACGCGAGTCTTCTTGGGGCATTGAGTTAACCAATGATTCATCAAAAGAACAAACAAATTCACAGGACTGCATAGCCACACAAAGGACACATAAAGCCTGCTTATGCGAGAACAAATGCTGGAAATACCCACAAACTATGTTTACTAACATCCATGGTACCTTTGGAGTTGTTTTGGGCTAAAAAAGTGATTTGTAAAATTTGGTCAAAAGACATTTTTGACCAAAGGGTATTGCTCATAAAATCTTAAGTTTGACAACTTGTGATCTTCTTTTTGACGCTACAAGACGAAAAATGAAGCTATTGACAAGGTTAAATACTTAATATGAGCGCCAGAGGCTATAGTTTTTGTTGAATGTGTTTGTGTAACAGTTGTGCTATGAAAATGATGAGAAATGAGTGAAAAACCTCAAAGACATTTTTATCACTTCTCGCAATATTTTAGTAGCAAAGTTGCTATGTTACTCGCATAAATAGACTCAGAAAGTAGAAATATACAGCTTTTACTGTTACCCCAAGACAAAGCAATTCAATTCTTCATCCAGCCGCATCAGAAATTGAACTTTTGCTAAAAACAGCCCAAAGATGCAGTTATTTTTATTCTCGTATTTTCAGACTCCGCAAACAGCCATTTTGTATGTATGATGCTTTAATATACAAAGTCTGAGACAATGGGTAGGTATCAGTAAAAAAAAAAAAAAACTCATAAAAAAATAAAGGTAGATCAAAGATACAGAAACATCATTGCGCTTCCTATAAGTGTTAAGATCAAATACCCCAGAAAGGGGTTTTATAGTCTTAATTATCCGCATTGAAAGTTTGTCTTACATTGTAATTAGTTCTTTTCAGTAAATATTGGTTAGAATGTAAGCACTAGTTCTTATAAAATACCTTTTAAGATATTATGTTATAACATTCGAGATTTTTGTAAGTACAAACAAAACTTTAATCTATCAATGGAAGGCAAAAGAGAAAGTTTTATAGAAAAAGAACATTGTAGAATAAAGTGGAAAAGGTCGATATACCTTAAAGTCTAAAGGGACTATACCTTAAGATCACTATATTTATACAGAAATGGTTACTTTTTTTCTGGGAATGGAATAAGTGTTTCCTTCTAATTTGCGAATGAACAATCCGTAAGTAGATCCAAAAAGTACAAGGTTACGGAAATTTATGTATATAAAAAGCAAAGGAGGAATTCTTCTTTTTGACGCATTACACACAGCATTCCTTTATATTTTGATGTTTATTGGAAATGCTTCTTAATAGCTACCTGTGGTATTCTTGTTTCAAGATAATAGAACAATAGACTATAAAAACTATGATTGCTTAGTCTCTTTTAATCAATAACTACTATTACCAATTGGATGTCATCTATAACTTATCACTTCCCAAGTTGAGTATCTGAATCATAAGATATATCTTTTTTTTATTGCATCTTTAGCTTGATGTTGTTTACTGGTCAAGTGATCTTGATTAAGCGCTTAAGGATCAAGATGATATAGTCATTCCTATCTATCTATATTCACTTTGTAAACATCTGAATTGAAGCTATCCATGACAAATAGGAAGATCCTCGAGTTGTCATAGACAGCAGCAGATAATCCGAACATACAAGCTACGATTTATGCACACTTGATAGCCATAAACCAGCGTATTAGATCTCAGTGTTTATCACATCTCCAAGCTGTTTTTATTACGAATGCACTATACTAGAGATTGAAAGCTCTACTAATAGTAAAAAAAAAACCCCCCGCTGACGACATGAAAGAAGTACTTACGCTTTTCACATGCAAGTTCTTTGATTGGCATCGTGACTTTAACCACATCTATAAAATCCCTTTCCTTACTTTTTCTCTTTTTTTCTCTTCTTTTCTTTATTCTTTCTTGCAACAGGAAAGGCTCGCGGTGATTTTGTGTAGGATGAGTACAACAAGAAGAGGCTTTGGTCTCTTTGCGTTTGGAAAGGCCTATGCTAACAAACCTGGGTTGGAACTGGCTACTACAACATTGGGAAGGTTGATGTGTGAAGACAGTTGAATCCTCCTTAAAGGCATGCATAAATCTTCTAGTTTCCTTCTATCGTCTCTGTCTCTTGTTGTAGTTAGCAGCTTTTTTTTGTCTCTGTTGTCGCGTAGTTTGAAGGGCAGCAGGAGCGATGAGTAGTTACTAATTTCTTCCACTGCGAACAAGCAATTTCGGGAGGGTGTTTGCCGTGCTTCCCCTCTGTCTGGGTTGTTTCTTTGTGGTGGCTACCCTCTTTTACCCTGTTTTTTTTCTTTCAAAAAAAAAACAATTTAAAAAAAGAAAGAAAATGAAAATGGTCTGCTTGTTTTGAGCAGAAGGGGCAGTGTGTTGGTGACAATAAAACGCGTTTATTTTACTCTTTTATACTTAAAGCCAGGTTTCTTTTTTCATGTATATTTTTTGTAAGTAATAGTGAATAGTATGCTTCCCATATTTTTTTTAAACTTGAACTAATCTGCTAAAAGCGGTTATTCAACGAAAGAAAAAAAAAAGACGCTATAAGGATTTCTACTTTTTTTTCTTCAAACAATGAGCAAAGACAAAGATTCCAACAAGCAAGAAGAGTTATACGACGATGTCTATTTTGACTCAGAACAAGAATTAGATCAAGAAACTATGGGTATTGGCCTCCCTAATCAACAAAAGCCAAGTAAGATCTAACTGAGTGAAAGCAAAAAAAAAAAAAAAAGACTAACCATCTCGATCAATAGAGCAACAACAAAAGAAAAGAGTTTTAAGTAATGACGAGTTACTATATGATCCAGACATGGATGACGAAGACGAAGCTTGGGTCTCCAAGCAAATTGCACGTAAGTCTATTCATTTCTCACCATGATTGCTCATACTATCAATCTAGAGGATTCCTCAAGAACAGACCAAAATATACCCATAGAAGCAAAGACAGATGCTATTTTGACATGTCCCATGTGCTTTACTACTTTATGTTATAGCTGTCAAAGGTAAGTAAAGTGTTGTAGCCATTCAACTGACATATCAATAGACATGAAAAGTATGCAGATCAGTTTAGAGCCATGTTTGTCAGAAACTGTCATACAGTGCCTGGCGAAAGATACAAGTTTAAAAGTGATGATGGTCAAGAAGAATATTATCAAAAAGTGACATGCGAAACGTGTGGCATTCAAGTGGCCATGTTGGATCAAGAAGAAGTCTATCACTTTTTCAATGTTGTAGCTACCTAAATAAACTATATGTATATATATATTTATTAACAACAACCACCACCAGCTTTTTCCTTCTTGCGATATTCTCTGTTTTCATCCATACTACTGTTACGAGACATGCTACGAACACTTGGGGGTCTTAGTTGAACGCGTTCACCGTTTGTAGGGCCAGAAGCACTCTTTTCGTCTGCTGATGTTTGTGAAGTCTTGGGTAAGTTTTCAAAGATGGTAGTAAACACCTTTTCAAACGCGCTGTCTACGTTGGTAGCATCAAGTGCTGAGGTTTCCATAAATAAAAATCCGTCTTTTTCAGCTAAATCTGCACCTTCTTCTGTTGTAACAGCACGACTCGTTTCGCTCAAATCAACTTTGTTACCAACCAACATAATCACAATATTTTGGTCGGCATGGTCTCGAAGTTCCTTTAACCAATGTGACACATTTTGAAAGGAGTTTCTGCGGGTAATGTCTATAAAATGATAAGTATATATATAATATGACATGTATTATTTACCATAGACAACAAGTGCACCAACAGCACCACGGTAGTAACTAAGCACAGTATAAATAATGTTGTTCTGTCTCGCCATTATACTTACGCTCCTGTAATGGCTCTGTAACGTTCTTGTCCGCTTGTATCCCAGATTTGTGCTTTAATAGAACGCTTTTCTATACACAACACACGTTATTCTATAGACTCAATAGCAACTGTTTACCTATTTCAATATTCTTTGTTGCAAATTCTACACCAATAGTACTCTTGCTTTCGAGATTGAACTCGTTGGTCTTTAAGAGACATAAGCTCATCTGCTTATACAATGTGTTAACTTACTGTGAATCGAGAAAGCAAGTTAGACTTTCCTACACCAGAGTCACCAATAAGCACAAGCTTAAAGAGGTAGTCATATTCGTCGTCTGAGAGCATAATAATAAAGAAAAAGAGAGAAAGAGAAAGAAAGAAAGAGAGCGAACCAGAAAGAGAAGAAGTTTATTAAACAAAGCCTAATTTGGTCTAGGTGGCTTTGTTGTGTTCAACTGATTTCAAGCCCGTTTTCATTAAGAAATATTGTCATTTTATTCTAAGCCTGTATAAATCGCCTATTTACCAATCGGAACCCTTCTCTAAGGCGATCTTTATCCTTAGGCCTATTAGTAAACGCGCTTGTCTGATATAAGCAAATGCCATGAGCAATGTTGAATGGCCAAAGAGAGAATAGAAATATATAGCCTATTTAGACAAATTCATAGTATGGCATGTTCTTTATTGTTATGACCAACGGAAAGAATTCCATAAAGCCGTATATTGTGCTACTAGACATGCGTAGTTTCAAATTAGACAGATTTGACAAGTAAAAGAAGATACGTTTTTTTTAATCAAATACAAATAAAGAATATTTCAAGGAGTAACTTTCATATATGCGTTTAAGATGTAGAAACAGTTTCCTGTGACGTACATAAAGTCTGCTGATCAAGTCTGAAACTATCTTGCTCTGCAGCACACATTTTAAAGCAGCAAAATGCCTCACTTTTCATTATTCTGTAGAGGATATGCTACTGCTCATACTTGAAGATTTAGGCACTTTTATATATACATAATATGATTAAAAGACACGTATATGATGGTATATATCATTTTCTAAACTATAAAACAGGCACGTGAACAAGCGTATGCCTTGTTGGAGATGCAGCGCCACTCTTTTCTTTTTCTTTTTGTATATGAATAGGCCTAGATTTTATATACATTTGTATATAAACTTTCTTTTTTCTTTTCTCTCTCTCTCTCTCTCTCTTTCTTTCTTTTTCTTTAACATGCTTTCTAGACGCAAATCATCTACCTTTCGTACTCAACACAATGAAACAAATGAATTTGGATTTAACAAATTAGAAGGGAGAGCCATCATTGATGTCTTGAAAGAAAGTAGAAAGGCAAGTAAAGAAAATATGCAGCACACATGAACTTATACAATGACAGCAAACATTAGGTGGTCTCTTAAACAAAAGAACTTCATTAGGCAATCTGCGTAAATCTAAATCATCTACTACAGCAGATAACAGGACAAGACAAACTCAAATGATGAGTCTTAACCTGAATATGAAGCGAAGATCCACAGGCTGTCTTAGAAGAGACTCTGTGTATTCCAATAAGAGCAACACAGACATCACACAGACTACACCAACAAAGGTTTTTTTCCCTTTATAAATGTCGTGTATCTGTTTCTTATACTTTTTAGGTTTGGAGATCACCAGGATTTTATGAAATACCCAATGTGTTTGGAAGTGATTGTTTTCTCAAGCCTGAACCAATCAGCGAAAAGACGTATCACTTGCGCACACTTAACCTTCAGAAACATATTTCTAAACACCCTTGGCGCCCAGCAGGATTCTGTAATGAAATACCTCAACTACCGCCATTAAGAAGACCAGAAAACGATTTTGAACGTAAACTCAGAAAAGCATTGCCCAAAATTCCAGTCTCGTCTCTTGACCCGCGTAACAAATACGACGGCTTTAAAGAAATTGGCACAGGGTTAGCAAAATAATAAATAATAAACAACAAGCAATCCTCTATATATAGTCAGTTGGAATAAACATCCCTTTTTTTTATAGTGTCAATGGTTCTGTGGTAAGGGCTCAACATCGCTACAAGAAGAATGTGCTACTGGCTATCAAACGATGTCACCTTGATCCTGATCGTGAATACAAGGCTTCTATCATACGTGAATTGCGTATCATGGCTACTGGTCATACAAACCTAATTCGATTACGAGAAGTTTCATTATGGAAACGGGATGTCTGGATGGCCATGGATTTAATGCGTTGCTCTGTATTTGCTGTGCTGTGTCAACGAGGCATACCTGAACAATATGCAGTTCATATTGCCTGCGAGGCACTTAAAGGGCTTGTTTATTTACACTCTAAATCGTTTATTCATCGTGATATCAAATGTGAAAATCTTTTGTTGGGTTGGAATGGTGAAGTCAAATTAGGTAATATTATAAACAAACAAACAATAACAACTTAACAAAGAATAGCTGATTTTGGACTTGCTACCAAGACAAACAGATGTAACCGTGAGAGATTAGGCACAAGCAAATGGATGGCACCCGAAGTCATACGCGAACAACCTTATGATGAGAAGATTGATATGTGGTCTCTTGGCATCACTCTGATTGAAATGATGGACCGTGTACCACCTCATTATTTAGTCAAGGATGAAACAGACTTGTTTAATACTATTTTAAGCGAATCCAGTCCAACATTTACCTATAGTTATCCCACTATGTATATGAGGGGACTTGTTGCTTGGTTGTTGGATGAAACACCATCAACAAGGCCACATGCTGTTGACGTTTTACAGGTAAATACCACTTGAAATGCTAAAAGAATAACAAGATGTTAGGAAATTGAAATTCATGTTCAGAATCAATTGCTACAATGTGCTACTTCAAATGAATTAGCACGCTTTGTTAACCATGTCTTTGGTTCAGCAAAATAAAGAGCAGTAACACAATAGAACATTCTCCTCAAAGTGAGGAACCAATCGTATTTAGTTTATTTTAGTAAATTTGACAGATCCCCTTGGTGCTCCAACATGATCACTTTGAGCACCCATAACATGAATTTCACTTGTGGCCATCATTTCATAATTTCGAATAAAATAGGATACAATGCCTTTGATTTGATGTATCGCAAACCATCGACCAGGACACGCATGCCTATAAAAAAAAATAAGTCATGTAGACAAGAATAAAATGTACTCACTTTCCCATGCCAAATGCTATGTTGTCATGACCTGCTTTAGTAACAAGCTTATCTTGACCTACAAATCTAAAGCCATCAAACGTATCAATATTGATTTGACCAGACTGGTTTTCTCGGTCAAAATGAACATCCAGCATGTTAATAAAGACTTCTCTGCCTATCTCAAAGAATTAAGCTTATTTTCTTTTTGTTTGGGCTTTACCTGGGTTCACGATGGCACCTGATTTTAATACGACATCATGTTGACTTGTGTTTGTATGGGCAAGTCCAATGCCTACCATGCGAGTACGCAAACATTCACGAATAAAACTATCGAGTTTCATCATACGTCGATAAACACCTGGCGTATATACTACATCATCTTGAGTAACTTGGCCTAATTCTTCGTTGATAACCTCTAATTGTTCATCACGAAGTTCCTGAATATACTCAGGATACTTGACAAGACAGTACATGACATAAGTAAGAGCTTCACTTGTTGTATGAACGCCCACAAAGATAAGGATTAAGACAATTGTTGTAAGTGACTCAAGGTATGCATCATCTACTTCATGAGGGTATCTTTCTAACAAATAGGCAAGTACATCTTGATTCTTTTTTTTTCTTTAGTAAGCACAGTGAGAGAGAGAGAGAGACAAATACATACAGGTTCATTTTTATCTCGTCCTAGGATTTCTTTCCTTAATGCGTTTTTGATGATGATGCGATATCTTTTCAATGTAGTTGCATTTTGATGGAAATAACTAAGTCTATGTAAATACCCGTCAAAGTATTATAGTACTTACCGCATATAGATTTGATTAAAAAAGGGGAAAACCACACGCAATGCACTTGGCTTAAAATCTTTACTGATATCTGCTACTGCATTCTCAAACACATTCATTAGATCCTTGTCCTGGCACAAATGAAGACCGACAAAAGCAGAAGCACTGTATCTTGCTACAAAGCTTCTGAAAAAGGGCAACAAGTCTGATTTTTCAAATTCTTTTTCTATTCAAATCATTTTGAGTTGGTTTGAGTTTCATCTATGATTTACCTTGAGTATTTACGTCTTTAAGAAACTGTTTTACTATTAGCTACTTATACTTGACATAATTTGATAACTTACTATTTCAAATGCTCTAGGACTATATTCTTTTAGATTGGGTGTCAAGTGTTTCATGATAGCTTCATGAATCGTATTTTCTGGAAGTGTAAACTCAGTTCCTCCATGAAAGAATGCATTACTGAGAAACTACACGAAAATGAGTACTAGTCCAGCAATGTCAATGCGATTACCTTGCTTTGACTTGCTAAAAAACTAAGGTCTGGATGATGGAATACTTCGTCTGCCTCTCCTGCTCCAACTACTGTCACTAAATCACCATGTAAATGCATACGAAACACAGACCCATATTTCTCAGTAAATTGTCTTGTAAAAGCAGGCGGGTTCAAGTAATATTTAAAAGTAGATCCAATAAAAGGAATCCTGTATGGAACCAGAGGAGGAAGATCCTTATCCTTATCCTATAGTGTTTTAGTATACAATGTCTTGTTTGTTTGTATATGTACCTGAATTAAATAGGAGGTGCATTTGATAAGAGTAAATGCAAAGGCAACAGTGCTTAAGGCAATACTCATATTTCTTTCTGTTAAATGGTCCATTGTTGTTGTTATCTTTAGAGAAATGAATAGCAGATCTATATATATACGATATAAGTCTTTCTAAATTTGGATGAAACAGGCCGAAAAGTGACCCAATTAGGTAAAATATGACCTTGGATTGGCTACTTGCTTAGCTACTTGCTTGGCATGAAGTATTCCCTCCTCTCTTATTTAACTAATGGATAATCATATAAAATGTATCTATAACAAGTACTAATTCAACAAGAATAAGAGCTTTCACTTTTGTTTTTTAATTGATAAAACTTATATTGAAATCATATATCGTGAATTAAACGTATTGTTTTTTCTGATAAGTGTATTATAAGCTGGCTAAGCAAATCTGCTGATCACACGCTACTCAATTGGTTCCTTCTGCGTGGTATTTAGCATAAAGATCAAAATTGCTAATGCATGTCTCCCTATTGGATCAATTAAACATTGACCATTCCAGCTACAGCATTAAACAGACAAGTCGAGAACCTATTCTGAGTTTGAATCAATCTTACTATGCTCAAGGATGGTAGACTACGCATTGAGTGAACAACACCACTTCCATGATCCACCAAAATCTATCAAGCATCACCGAGATCATTCATAAAGCGAGCTTGATAACCATCTTAAAGAATCAAATCTACTTTATTATCATTAAAAAAAGACTTTACGCACAAATACAAGCAATACTGATTGTCAATCGTTTTTTAATTGTTTACTGGATAAAGCATGGAAACAAAAATAAGTATTCTTTTCACTTATTATTGTATTTTAAAACCGTAATGCAACTTAATCTATTTTATCCAACACGCATAATAAACTCCGTCAGTGGCTTATGTCCTTTAATGTTGCTTACTTGGTGGAAGCCATTCAGACTGATAGAAACAAGACATTTTAACTTACCTTTAACCAAGCGATAATAAATCAATATAAAATACAATCACTATACTTTCATTGCCTACCTTATACTCTACAGACTGCTTTCTTGAACAAAACATCAACAGTAAATGACGTCACAAGAGAGTTACACACTGTATAAAATATTTTTTTCTTTGTCTGTTTGACTTATTTTCTCTCTTTAACGACGTTCGGTGCACTTTTTTAAAAACCACCCTTTTCCTTTTTAAATCGCACCTCTTTTTTTTTCTTTACTCTCTTTATTATATTAGCAAAGTAGGTGGCGCTAATTTTTTCTGTTTGTTACTTACTAACATAGCCATAACAGGTCTTGCTAGGATATGCAACTTTGAAAAAAAACAACAACTAATGAATAGAACTCCTAACACAACCGAAAAAACTAACGCTCAACCAGTGTTCAACTACGCTCAGGCTGCAAAGAGAAGCTCACAAAATTTGGAATCACAAAAACCTAAAACAACACCTGCACCTTCTACCAATGAGTCAAAACCCACAGCAGAATCTGCTGCCAAGGTAGAATCTGCGCCTGCTTCTTTTGCTGCTGCGTTATCAAAGAAAACCGAAACGTACGTATCTTATACCTGCCGCAGTCTTGACTGATCTTACTATTTTAGTGGTAAAAACATACCTTCTAAGCCTAGTAACAACAACAACAACAATAATAGAACTACACCTAGAGAACCTTCTACTGAAGCTGGTAAGTACTGTGCATTTTTTTAAGAAAAAAGCCATTCATTCATTTTCTCTATAGCACCCATTCAATTTGGTACTGTCAAGGCTGATGAAGCTAAGCCTGTAGAGACTGAAGCTACAAATGTCACTGAAAACAATTCTGTAAGTATATATCCCATTTATCTATTCTTGTGGAATCACTCATGTTTCTTATTCAGCGTCGTGATTCGACACAGTTAAATAATGCAGAGCCTCATTATTACAACAATAACCGTCACTACGGTTCTCGTCAAGGAAAGCATAACAACCATTCACCCAATATGCAGCCTAGTTATGTCCCTCACCATGTAAAGAAGAACATGTCACCTAATCAAAACAGTGGCAATTGGTCTAATAACCAATACGTATGTATATGTACACATAAAAAAAAAGAGGTGAGGTATATTAACATGTCTATAGTATCGCCCTTCACAATATTATCCTCCCAACACTTTTATGCCTGTTCCTCCCTATACTGGTCAAACATTCGTGCCTCAACCTTCCGTCAATAAAGCCATTGCCATCATCAATCCTACTACAAACGAAGTCATTAACCTTTCCAGTCAACCACCTAAAGAAACTCCTGCAGCTACAACCAAGCCAGAAGAATCAAGTGTAAAGGAAACAAAGGACTTCAAGATTGTTCCTACTCCTTCTCGTGCTATCAAGATTGTTGATCCTAGAGTAAATATGATGCTGTATTTTATTCAACCACTAATTTATTTATAGGCAAAGGAAGAAGAGGCCGAAAAGAAGGCCAAGGAGGAAGCTGAACAAAAGGCCAAGGAAGAAGCCGAACAAAAGGCTAAGGAGGAAGCTGAAAAGAAAGCTAAGGAAGAGGCTGAACAAAAAGTCAAGGAAGAGGCCGAACAAAAGGCCAAGGAAGAAGCCGAGAAGAAAGCTAAGGAGGAAGCTGAACAAAAGGCCAAGGAAGAAGCTGAAAAGAAAGCTAAGGAAGAAGCCGAGCAAAAGGCCAAGGAAGAAGCTGAGCAAAAGGCCAAGGAAGAAGCTGAGCAAAAAGCTAAGGAAGAAGCTGAACAAAAAGCTAAGGAAGAAGCTGAACAAAAGGCCAAGGAAGAAGCTGAGCAAAAAGCTAAGGAAGAAGCTGAGCAAAAAGCTAAGGAAGAAGAAGCCGAAAACAAGACCAAGGAAGAAGAAGAAGAAGCTAAAAAGGCAGCTACTGAAGAATCCAAGTCTGATTCTACTGAAAAGAAGGTCGAAGAACGCATTGCTGCCATTACAGCTGACAAGGCTGCCAGAGGTGCTCCTGGTCGTCTTGATATGTCTGCTATTCCCGCTCATGTCTTCCACGACTCTCCTGTCTCTACACCTTCGAGCCCTTCTGCTCCTAAAGTGAAGGGTCCTCCTATGCGCAAGATCGAAGACTTCAGCGCTATTGAATACCCTCCTGAATTTTTGGCTCCTAAGCCTAGTGCAAACAACAAGATTACTTATGAACCTGCCTTCTTGTTGCAATTCCAAAAGCTCTGTCTTGAGACAGACGAAGATTTATCCGAATTTCAAGGTATGGCTGCTGAACAAAGCAGCGGTAATGAAAGACGTAGCATGTCTCGTCGTCAAACCTCTGAACGTGGTGGTCGTGGTCCTCGTACGCCTGGCGGTGGTTCTGGTGAAGGCGGTATGTATAGAGGTAATTCTCGTGATGGTCGTGGTGAAATGGGCAAGTTCGCTGGTGGCCGTCCCCTCTCTCATCGTCAAGGCAGCAATGGCCCCAACTCTCCCGGTATGGATCGTCAAGATTCTCGTGGTGGCAGAAACCGTAGCAGCCGTGGTGGTAAGGACCGTCATCCTCCTAGAGAACAACAAGGTGGACCTACCATTCCTCTTGATCAAGTGGCTCCCTTAGAAAAGAGTGAGAACCGTTGGGTCCCTACTGTTGTTGCTACTGACGGTGCTGCCTCTACTGCTTCAGAAAGAAAGGAGAGTGCTGAGTCTGACTTGATTTCTCAAGACATCATTGCTCGTAAGATCAAGGCTCTCTTGAACAAGTTGACACTTGAAAAGTTCGATTCTATCTCTAATCAAATTTGGGAATTTGCCAAGCAATCTGAAAAGGAAGACAATGGTCTATCTTTGAGAAATGTCATTCAACTTATCTTTGACAAGGCTTGTGATGAACCTAACTTTGCCAGCATGTGGGCTCAATTATGTAAGAAGCTTTATGACCTCACTGCAAAAGATACCAACATCAAGGATGTCAATATCCTTGACAAGAACGGCGCAATTGTCTCTGGTGGTCCTCTTTACCGTAAATACCTTCTTAATCGTTGTCAACAAGAATTTGAAAAGGGCTGGAAGACTGATTTACCCAAGGTTGATGATAACAACCCTGATGTGATGATGACGGATGAATATTATGCTGCTGTCAAGGCTAAGCGTCAAGGTCTTGGTCTTGTTCAGTTCATTGGTGAACTTTTCAAGCTTCAAATGCTAACTGAACGTGTCATGATTCAATGTTTAATGAAGCTATGTGCTGACCCTAAGCATCCTGAAGACGAAGAAACAGAAACTATGTGTAAGATGTTGATGACTATTGGTAAGACCTTTGATGCCAGTGGCAGAAAGAACAAGGAATGGTTAGATGCCTACTTCCAAAGAATGCAAGAAATGTACGAATCCAGTACTTTGAGTTCTCGTGTCAAGTTCATGATCTTGGTAAATATTTTGTAAAGAGGTGTTTATGCTTACTGTTTCTATAGGATGTCTTTGATCATCGTAAGAGTAAATGGACACTCAAGCGTGGCGGTAACCAACCTGCTCCTACCACCATTTCACAAATTCACGAACAAGCCAAGAAGGCTAGCGAAGAAAAAGAAAAGGAGACCATAAAGCGTTCTGGTAGCTCTCGTGGTGGAGGTAATCCCATGTCCCGTCAAAGCTCTCACCGTAGTGGTGGACGTGATATAATGAGACAAAACTCTTCTCGTAATGCCAATAAAGAAGACCAAAGTGGTAGCAATAGTCCTGGTGCTGCTGCTACTAGTGCAGATGGCTGGAACACTGTTGGTCCTGGTAGTCCCACTACTGCTCCTCGTTTAGGCCGCACAAATGAACTTGCCAACTTTGGTAAGACTGACCGTAGCAAGTCTAGAAACAGTGGTGTACTTGGTCCTTCTAGCAGTCCCTTCTTTAACAACTTGTCTCGCTCTAACTCCAAGTCTGGTGTTGATAAGAAGACCGCTTCTAATGATACACGTTCATCTAGCCCTGCCACTTCCATGTCCAACATGTTTAGTGCTTTGGGTGGTGAAGGTCAAGAAGAAGAAACTGCTGAAAGAAAGAAGTTGCAATTGTTACCCCGTAGTTCAGAAAATGCTGAAGAGGCTGAAAAGTCTGAAGAAGCACTTTCTGCTACTACTGCTCCTAAAGAAGAAGAATCTTCTAGTCCTTCTGAAGTAGAAAAGCCCAAGTTGAGTGATGAAGTTATTGAGCGTAGATGTAAGGGTACAATTGATGAATACTTTAGTCTTCGTGACAAGACAGTAAGTGTAGATTAAGGATTAATGTACAACCGACTTATCATTATTTCTTAGGAATTATGCGAATGTGTCAAGGAATTAGATCATACACATTACCGTGTTGTTTTTGCCAGCAAATTACTAGACGTTGTTGAGAAGAAGACTGAAGATGTTGAAATCGTGTGCGAAATGATTGAAGTCCTCAACAAAGAGAAACTTATGGCCCGAGAAGAATACGTTGCTGCCTTCAAGAAATTCTGGGAAGGCTATGAAGATTTGGTTATTGATGTTCCCAAGGCACCAGAACATGTCAACAAGCTTTTGGCTGCTACCGGTATCGAGCGTTCCGAGGTCGAATGTGAACCCAGTTATTAAAAATACTTTGTGTAAAATCCTACCTAATGCGTTATTGCATTTGATATTTTTATGAATCCATGTACATAAACAACTTTGTTTTTATGATTTCTAGATCGTATGACGAGGAAAAAGAAAGAGTTTATTTAAATCTTTGTTTTTGCTCTGAATTTCAGTAAAGGGGCCAGGATTTCCAAAGGACCAGCCTTCTTGAGAAACTCATGCTATAGACATATATTTGTGAGCATAACCTACGACATTCAGATAACTTACATTCATTAGTTCCATTGAATTGGCTCGTGATCTCACATCAACACAAAGACAAACAGCCAAAAAGGACTTGAGTTCACTGGAGAGTCTCTCTGGGTGCTTTAAGGTAGGTGTACCATTAGTGGCAATAAGATATAAAGCCTTCAAGGGTTCTTCATCAAGGTATGGTGGCTCATTCTCAATCATTTCAATAGCCATAATACCTAAAGACCAGATATCAACCTTGGCACCGTATTCCTTTTGCTTAACCACTTCAGGAGCCATCCAGTAAGGAGTACCCACCATTGTAGCACGCTTTCTTTTTTGATCTGTCAGTTTGGCACAGAAGCCAAAATCACTGATTTTGACATGACCCTGAGCATTAAGCAAAATGTTATCAGACTTGATATCTCTGTGAATAATGTTTTGAGAGTGCAAATGATGGAGACCAGCTACTGTTTCGAGACAGACAGTAGAAATTTGTTGCTCTGTCATTTTGCTGTTATTATCAATGACATCAGTCAATGCACCACCCTCCATGAATTCCATGACAACCCACAAGTCAGCATTGCCAACAAGAAAAGCGTCTAAAAAGTTAACGATATTGGGATGTTGGTATTCTTTCAAGACAAGAATTTCATTGACAATCAATTCTTTGCGTGGTTGATGAGCCAAATCCATTTGTTTAACAGCAACCTTTGTGTTTGTAGCAAGTGAATTGGCAACATACACAGAACCAGAAGCACTATCAATTTATGAGATAACATAGATGTTTGATCAACAACTTTACCCTTGACCCACGCGTTTGATTTTCTTATAGCATTCGTTTGGATCACCCTTTGATACAACCGAGCCTACAAAGCGTATTAACATATCCGTGTAACAGCACAGATATACTTACGAAGCTTTTCCATGATTTGTGCTTCTGTCATTGTACTGATTCTTTGCTCCATCTTCTTCTTAGAAGAGACTTGAGCAGCAGCCTTTTCTCGCTCTCTTTCCTTATGTAGACGCTCTCTTTCTCTTTCGCGTTCTCTTTCTTTTTCACTTTCCATATGCTGCAATTGTAACTGGTATTGTTCTTTCTCTCTCTCTCGTTGTTGGTAGTAGTTTACACTACTAGATCGAAGTGGAATAACCTTTTTCTTTTCTTCACCTTCTTGTTTGTTGACCACATTGGGGATTGTCGGACTTCCATTTTGTTGATCTCGAGAAGGTAAAGTGTAATTGCTCTAACAGGAAATTAATAATTTAAATTTATTGAAATTTTCTGCTTACCTTGTTACTGAGGGATGGTTTTGGTGTAGAAGGTGATTTTAAAGGCTGTTGCTGTTGCTGCTGCTGTTGTTGATCCTATACATGGCATCAGAAAGGGCTAGGATCGAACATTGAACATACCTGAATTTTCAGTTCAGCAAGAGCTGCAATAGCGGATGGAGGAGGAGGAGCAGGTCTAGTTGGTATATTCTTGGGCGGTAATTTTACATTGGGAATCATATTTTGTTGTGTTGGTGATTGAGCATCTTGGTCATGAAGTGCTTTTTCTTGCATCATTTTAGCCCAACCCAAACCACTCATACGCTCAACAGCGCCTTGAAGTTGAGAAGTACCATACTCTTCTTCCTCCCGCTTTGTTTGTTCAGCATAAAATTCTAATACATCCAAAACAGCTTGAGGATTCTTGGCTGCATCTTCGGCTGTAATAGCTGAACCTTTCAACAATCGAGTCCATTGATCAGGCAAGCCCTAATAACAAGGTGAATAAGAAAAAAAGCTTATTTTTGGGAAAGTAAACGTATTTACCGTAAAAGCACCGGTTATTGGATCAAATCCCACATGGACCTTGTGAATAAAATCTGTTGGACCAGAAGCACCAACGGAAGATCTCTAAAACAAGTTTTAGTTTTCTGTATTTCGAGATCCCAAGCCTTACGTTGTATATTTCGTCCATCCAACTATAAAGTTCCTCATCGCTTTTACAAGAAATATAATAGGTTTTGTCTTTGGCAGAAATTTCAAAGCAATAAGGCTTTAAATCAATTCTTGTTACTGACCCAATCTCCTTGAGAAAAATTAAACCAATACATTGGCCAGCCTTTTTTTTTTTAATAAACAATCAAGCCAATAAACATTCATTTCTTACCTCATTACGATGAAAAGTCAAGGATTGATCTCTCAGTACACAGTATCGCTTTGACCAGATCCAAGCTCTTAAGCCTTCTTCCTTTAAAGAAAGATATCCTTCTTTAATAATATCGGGCATTCTGTGTAATGAGTAAAAAAAGTAAAAAGGAGAAAGAAAGGAGAACCTAAAAAAACTCGATATCTCTCTTTTTTTTATTTAATTCGGAGATGCAGTTGTCATGTACAACATTAGTAGAAGAGAGGAGAGAATATTAAACAGTTGCCTTTTAAGTCAGTGCGTACTTTTGGAGGAAAAGCTCATCTAAACACATATTTCAAACATCAACAAAAAGCCACATAGAATCAGTTTCAAAAAAAAAAGAAAAAGAAAAATGCATTTTATTGTCACCAACACACTGCCCCTTCTGCTCAAAACAAGCAGACCATTTTCATTTTCTTTCTTTTTTTAAATTGTTTTTTTTGAAAGAAAAAAAACAGGGTAAAAGAGGGTAGCCACCACAAAGAAACAACCCAGACAGAGGGGAAGCACGGCAAACACCCTCCCGAAATTGCTTGTTCGCAGTGGAAGAAATTAGTAACTACTCATCGCTCCTGCTGCCCTTCAAACTACGCGACAACAGAGACAAAAAAAAGCTGCTAACTACAACAAGAGACAGAGACGATAGAAGGAAACTAGAAGATTTATGCATGCCTTTAAGGAGGATTCAACTGTCTTCACACATCAACCTTCCCAATGTTGTAGTAGCCAGTTCCAACCCAGGTTTGTTAGCATAGGCCTTTCCAAACGCAAAGAGACCAAAGCCTCTTCTTGTTGTACTCATCCTACACAAAATCACCGCGAGCCTTTCCTGTTGCAAGAAAGAATAAAGAAAAGAAGAGAAAAAAAGAGAAAAAGTAAGGAAAGGGATTTTATAGATGTGGTTAAAGTCACGACGCCAAAAAGTCTAGGCTTCGTTCTACAAACATCTATCTCTGGTTCAATAGTGTATAAATACAAGCCTTTTTTTTCTATTGCTTTTTTGAGGCTTCAAATGTTCAACGTGTCGGGCTTTTTTTTTTCTCATCAAATTCTCATGTTGCTTATTTTCCAAGCTTTAATATTCTATACAGTTTCACTTGAATATGGTATAATCACCTGAACTTAATAATGCAGATGCTAATTACTAACGCAAAATTTATTGTTAGATAATGCAAGTAAAGTACGTGGCATCCATATGTACTCTTAGTATTCGGATGCTTTTGGTGTAAAGGCTTTCGTAACAATTCGATGCGCTTTATCCGAAATGTGAGCAAAGGCTCTTGTTCCTTCTTTGATCCATAGCAGACACTGAAGATTCAATGCGCTTTGTCACCATGTACTCTACTCTCCGTCTTGGCATTATTTTTCAACAAGGTAAGAAAGACACGTATTACATATCAATTCAGTTTGGACTCAACGGGATATGTTCCTAGGTTCACGTACAACTAATCGAAATGATGAAGTAAACCCATTTATATATCAACTAAGTTTCGGTTCTTTTCATCAATGCAAAACTTGAAAAGTAGAATATTATCAGCATGATTAGCTGTCCCAAAAACTTGGATTTCCTGCAAAAGATAAAGAAAAAATGACTGCTGGTTTTCAATCATTTTAGGCTTACGATAACCAAAGTGATCTTTTCATACGGTCCAAAAATTCGTAAAGTCTTCTTTCTTGGATAAGCTATCTAATCTAGATGACCTGTTATTTCAAGATAAACAGAAATGGCTAGACATATAAAGATCTGTACAATAAAGTTTGTTCACAATACATAAGCTGTACCACTTCAAAGATAGGGATATTAAATTAGTACAAATACACACGCTTGACATGAATTGTTTTCTCATCATCTCTTGCACAAACTATGAAAGAAAATACAGACAGTTTTCATTCAAAGGAATACATCTCGGTAGTTGAACAAGCTCTTTTTATGAAAACAGAAGCAGAAAAAAAGCTTCTTCGCAAAATCAATTTCACATTCATGCCATTTGCATGTTTAATTCTATTTATTCAGGTAATGTTTTAATTGCCATGTCTACAGCTACTAACAATAAACACTCATAGTTTATAGACAAATCAGCACTTTCAACAATCAGTGTAATGCCACAATTTTATGCAGATACAGGCATAAATCGAGATCAATATAGTTGGCTTGGCTCTATTTTTTACCTGGGGTTTCTCTGTATGCAATTACCAAACAACTACATGATGCATAAATTTCCATTATCTAAATATGTTGGAGCTATTCTTGTTATATGGGGCATTGTACTTTTCAGTACAGCTTTTTCTAAAAACTTTGGTCACCTTATTGCTCTTCGCTTTTTACTCGGTTTTTTCGAGGCAATTACTTATCCAAGCATGTTCTTGTTAATTGCTACAATGTATAGAAGATCTGAACAAGTACTCGGTTTTGGGGTCATGTTTCTTAGTAACAGTGTTGGTATGATTATTGGTGGTGTCATTGGTGTCGGTATCATGGAAATGCCCACCGTTGGTAACATTTCACCTTGGAAATGGTCCATGATCATTTTTGGCTCAGTCACTATACTTATGGGTATTGTCTACTTTATTTTTTTACCTGACAGACCTGATTCCCGCTGGTTCAGATTAACTGAAGAAGAAAAGTCAATAGTTGAAGATCGTGTGCGTGACAATGCTGTTATTCGAACTTACAAAGTCAACAAGGACCAGATATGGGAAGCACTGAAGGAACCTCGTCTATATTGCTATTGCTTGATTTCTCTTTTTATTGAACTACAAAATGGAGCTCTTACTACTTTTCAAAGTATCATTATAGCTGATCTTGGCTTCTCGAGTACAAATGCTGTATTATTGACTATTCCTGGTGGTGTATTTGCTCTTTTATTGGTCGCTGGATCTACTTCTCTCAGTAAGAGATGGAAAGAAACTATTTGGATGGCTATTGCCATGTGCACTATTTCCGTCATTGGCTTGATATTGTTGGCCGTCATTCCCTCAGGCGGAATCAAGCTATTTGGTCTCTATCTAAGCTGGGGCTGTACGCCGACCTATGTTCTTATGCAGGCTTCCATCACAAGTAATGTTTCTGGGTATACAAAGAAGATTTTCTACACAAGTGGCAATATGATTTCCTATACACTGGGTAACTTTATCGGACCTCTTTTACTTCGTAGCAAAGAAGCTCCTCATTATTTGACCGGTATGAGTATTTATATTGCTGCCAATGTATTGGTCATTCTTATTTTCCTTTATTTGCGATTTAGTTATGTTAGGGCTAATAAGATGCGAAATTTGGATAAGAATGATAATACCGTTGCTTTACCTGATGATTTGGAAGACATTAGCGATGTACAGAATCCAAAATTTGTCTATAGAACTTGATTGTATATACATATTGCTATTTGTTAATGCTTAATACACTTTATTTGTTTTTTTTAACATCGATTTTGTTGATTTGCTATGATAGCTGTGGCTTGTGTAATGACATTTAAAAGCAGAAATAAATGTACACACACACGCTTTATTCTTCTTTTTTCATAATCTCAAGATGCCCGGAGAACATATGCAGTCTGCCAAAGTGGTTTTAATTCTTTGTTCTTGTTTCTTTGCCTACGGTGTAAGTTTTATTTGCTCGAGAAAATATTGTATTTATTCGTATATTTTAGACTACCTGGTCAGACTGGGCCTTTGACTATTACTTTCTTTGGGCCAACTTGGCTGAACACCCTAACGCCGTTGCTAGAGCTACAGTAAGATACACATTGACTAACAATTATATTCTAACGCGTACTGGTTAGCAATACTATACTAGTCAATTAGATGCACCTGATATCATTAAATACATTCCATTCATCAACTTGTTGATCGCTGCTGTTGGATTTGCTGCTGGTTTAGCTAATATGACCGATGGAAATATTTTATTTGATGGTGCTTCTTTAGGTATGTATAATTACGAATGTTATCGATTATTTCCTAATACATGTATAGTGTTGATGCTTTTTGCGCTCTCTACTTATTCTACTTCTGTAAAACCAGGTAAAAAAAAAAAGAGAGAGAGAGAGATAAACAATGTTACAGGATAAAACTTAACCTTATCCTCCTAGGAATCTTAAATATTTCTCAAACGAATGATGTTGAAGAACTAAGCAAGAATTTAAGAAACATTGCTGCTGCTCACTTTATTATGACTTTGGCTATCACTGGTATTGTTGGTTTGCAAATTACTCATTATGTCTTGACCAAGCGAGCTGATAATGCTGAAAGAGCTGAAGCTGCTGCTGCTAAAAAGAACAAATAAGTGTATATAAATGTAATGATCGGTACAATAAAACTATAATTCTTAATACAAAAAAGATCTCTGAGACTGTATGGTTATGATACAATGTTTTATTATTATTATTATTATTATTATTAGAATGAAATACAAAGGTATATATGGAATGAATACAGGACTACATATAGTTATAGACCACGGGAAGCACAGTAACCAGGAAGTTCTTCACCTGTATTTAAAGGATGAATCCAAGAACTGATAGTCACTTCAAGTGTATATACAAGAATGCCTGCACCAAAGATCATCAACAAACTATCAAGTACTCTATCAATAAGCTTCTTGCTGATCTTAAAGTGAAACATGCCGGGGAAAATAAAACACAAAGGTACGCAGGCAACAGAACCAACTAAAGAAACAAACTTGTCAAGGTTATCACCACCAATACCGAATGCAATAGCAGCACACGCAACACAGAGAATGGCTCTGTATACATTCTTGGTCCATTTGACAGCTAAGCTATCTCTACCAGATTTGAATCGACCAAAAAGACCATTTTCAATGATCTTTAAAGCAGGGAAAAGCATAAGAGGAGAAGTAAGGATGATAGCCAAAGAATACAGCAATTGCACAGCAAGTGTAAGCTTGTTATCAGAAGGGAAGTTATAAATAATAGCGGATTGGACAGTATCACCATAAGCCAAATAAGAGAGAGTACCAATCAAGATATAGACAATGCATACAATAATCATACCCAAAGTGACAACAAAAGGAAACCTTTCAGGACGCTCCATGGCTTCAACAATAGGAATGATCAAACCAATACCTTCAAACGAGAATGTGGCAGTACCGATCATAAGAGCAAAGTTGTTAGGATTCACAGGAGCCACATTTGGCCCAATACCCATCGAGCTCAATTGAGCAGAAGTAAAATAAACAATACAAATCAAGCCAAAAAGAATCAAGATATCGGCTGCAATGGCTGCAAAAGACAATTTTGCAATGTGTCTAACCAAAGAAAAAGGAATAAGAATAACAAGGGGCATCCAAATGTAATATTTTTGCTCAATGCCAGCAGTACAATTTGATAGCACATCTACCACATTGACCAAGTTACCCGAAATAAAGATAAAATAAGAGCATACAAAACCAATTTGAGAGATGACAATGAAAAATAAGACAGCCAAACGCACTGATGAACCATACAAAACGCCACCTATGTTACCATAGGATCCACCAATGATTTGCTGTGTATTGACCAATCTCAAGAATGAAAATAAACAAATAGCAGCAATGACAACCATCAGCACAATCGATAGTGCTAGACCACCATTTTGAAACCTACGCATCGATAGGGACAAGGTAAGTTTATGATCTAGATATCTTTTTTTTATAACCCCGCATACTTACGCTTTAGGTAAGAAAAGAACACCTGATCCAATGAAAGCCTTCAAGAACATAAACATAGCCTTTCCTACTGAGGCCTTGGGGACCTCCTCTTCCTCTTGTTCCATGGACTCTTCTCCTATGGTTGACTCTTCATGCTTGCGTACAGATGTATTAGAAGCAAGACTCTTGCGCTTCTCTTCGTCAAAGGGTTCAATGTGTCTTGAGTTGCGTCGGCTGTCATCGAGTCTTTCACCTGCAAAGTTACTATAGACAGACAGGGATGAAACGGTTCGAGCAAGTGATTTTCGCTTGGCAGCTGATATGGAGGCGAATGATGTAGTGCGACTAGATATTTTGGGACGAGTGTTCTTATGAGGACGCATACTAGCAAATGAGTTTGCTCTACTACTTTCATTGAATGCATAGCTTGATTTGTGGTTTGGCATAGATTCCATAGCAGAGGGAGCAAAGTGAGCACGATTGGGGTACTTGGTCGAGCCAATAGTACTGCTTCCTGCATCATTGGCTCCAGGGGAGGTATATGATTTACTTCGAATCTCACCTAGATTCGCTGTACCTCTCACTTCATCATTGTTATTGTTAGCAGACATTTTGGCGGTAAAGAAATGAAAAAGAGGGGTGAGTTGGATAGTGGATTGACAGCTGTATATATAATAATTCGGCATCTAAATAATTTTTTTTTCTCAATTTCGATCCAACTGAGACTTCTTGGTTACCATCCAAAAGAAATTAAAAAGCAATAGCCATCTCCTCTACGTCATGTTACACAGTCCCATAAATATGAGTTCTTTCATTTTATAAGCATATACGTCTAAATGAAGTACGTTTCTCCAAGTTGAGTTGTTCAATTATATACAGTGCCAAAACAGGAAAAACAGATCTACTCTTTTTGCCACCATCTTTCTTCGTAGGAATCAAGCTATGCACTGTGTCACCTTGATTGACGTCAGATTACTGAGGAGAGAAGTGGGGGATATGATATCATCGCATTGCCTCTCATTGGTAGAAGCGCAAGTTTTTCCGGTTCGATTCTTTTGCGCACACTTGACAGTGACATCAATACTTTTCAAAAGAAGAGAAAAAGTATCATATAAAGGGAAAAGATGCCGTCTTACTGTAGAAAGAGTCTATACAGCCTATTTTTAGCACTATCATATCAAATTTGTCAAGATGACAGCTGCACTTTGGACAGTGTACTTGACAGCACTTTTATGTTGTACATAGTTTCTCAACTATTGTATGTTAAAAAGCAGGAACTTGTTCATCTTTTGTTGTTAATTCCTCGGTTGTCCACAGTGAGAGATCGGTATCACAAGCAAAACAGTCTTCATTTGCTTGAGTTTGTACTACGTTTGCAAACAATACAAAGTTTAAAAAACCTCAAAATAGAAAATATTCTATTTATTCTCTCATAATAGTAAAAAGATAATTGTCCTAAGATGACTAGAATAAAAATCGAATTCTTTTCATTATCATTTGCAGTGCTGATAGATGGTGGAATTCTAAGGAAAACTTTTGACAACCCCGCAAGATCTGTTGTGGAACCATTTGTTCATTTGAACTTGAAACAAAAAAGCAAGTTTAATTCAAACTGATACAAACAGCTGTTTATTGCATCACATATTCCCGGAAAGTTAAACTGTTTGACAGGCAAGTAATTTCCATCCTAACTATGCTTGTTTGAAAACCTCTAGTATCGGTAATATTAGATTATATATAATAGCCATTTATGTACATTGTCTTTTTCTTTTTTCGACCCGTTAGACAAAAAAAAACATGAAGCTATTACGGACAACATTGCTAGCATTTCTATATCTTTCAGTACAGATTTATGCTCAAGAAAGTACAACGATTGATTATAAAGTCTTTAAGAGTAGCATAAAAGAGGGCTATGGCATTCGATCTGTCAGCCCGAATCTATGTGATCCTAATGTGACACAGGTTTGCACTAACTTATTAGAGAAGAATTGCTAATTTGTCTTTAGTATTCAGGCTATTTCGATATGGGACCGGATCATCAATACTTTTTTTGGTTCTTTGAAAGCCAAAATGAGCCTGAGACAAAGCCATTGACAGTATGGCTAAATGGAGGACCTGGATGTTCTAGCATGATGTAAACTAAAACCATATACATAAAATGATACTCATGTAGTGAAATAGAGGACTGTGGCAAGAAAATGGTCCTTGTAGAAGCCAAGAAAATGGAACTAAAATTGAATACCATCCTTACACTTGGAATCGATACGCAAATATGCTTTTTATTGACCAGGTTTGTTCTTTGTACTATTATATGATTTACTGACTTGATATATCAAGCCCACAGGCAGTGGCTATTCGTATGGAAACAACTCTGCTAGTCGTGTACAAGATGCCGCAGAAACATTTTACGATGCAATTCACCTATTTTATGAAGCTTTTCCAAAATATAAGCAACTTCCTTTTCATATATTTGGCGAGTCATTTGCTGGACGATATATTCCTATTTTTGCTGACTATATTGCCAAAAGAAACCAAAACTCAACAAACTTGATACCCTTAGAATCTGTTGGTATTGGAAATGGTTGGACAAACCCTTTATTACAAATGTAAGCTGAGACATACAGGGGATAGTTTCAGTTAATGAAACATATATTGTATTTTAGGAAATCTAATTCGGAAATGGCATGCAATTCCAGCTGTAAGTAATATTGTAATTCATGATATTACTGTGATATAACCAGAACATTAGATGGTCAGTTGTTACCTACTTCTATTTGTGAAAGAATGAGAAGGAACTACAATGTATGCGCTCGATATAGTAAGTGAATTAGACAGTCTATTTTAAATTATTTACATGTGTGACTTAGTTGAAGCTTGCTATGCTTCAGATACCACGGAAGATTGTACTGCAGCAGACCGATACTGTTCAAGAAACATCGATGCCCTTTTTAATAGGTCTGGAAGAAATGTGTACGATGTCAGAAGAATATCCAGTTCAATTGAACCTCCTGAAGACTTTATTACCTTATTGAATCGCCCAGATATACAACAAACTTTGGGTGCAGAGCCAAGAAAATTTGAGCAATGTTCGGATAGACCTGTAATTGATTTCTTATGATGGAAAAAAAACATGTGTTTACATTTTCTTATAGTACGAAGCTATGATTTATACAGGAGAAGGGTAAGCATCAGAGGATAAAGCAAGCAAGTGACTCAAAGCTATTTAGTATGCGAAATTCGTCACCATGGATTGTTTCTCTATTGACTCAAGGCATAAGAGTTTTACACTATGCTGGAGATGCGGACTACCTTTGTAATTGGGCAAGTACATTTTAGCTATCTTTCTGTATTCTTTCTAACTGAACGACATAGTACGGTGTTCATGCTTTAACACTGGATCTTAAATTCAACGGTAGCGAGCAATTTAGTAACGATACTCTAAAGCCTTGGATAATTCAAGGCAAAGAAGCAGGTCAAATCCAACGTTCCGATTTACTCACATTTATCCGTGTATATGAAGCAGGCCATGAAGTTCCTTATTATCAACCTGTTAATGCACTCGGCATGTTTTATGAATGGATCACAGGCCAAACGTTTAATGATCAATAGTCTATATTAATTCTATACTATAAATATACAAATGCATACACTGGGGTAAAAAGAAAATTATCTACAGCTTCATCTTTTTGTTCTTCTTTGATACAGGCTTCTTTTTGTTTCCACTGCTCGTAGGAGTGGCTGAAGTGTATTCTTTAACAAGATCACCATAATATTGAATCGCTTTTTCAATAATCTTCTTTTCACTGATACGACATGTGAAAGCATAATACTTTCTTTTGTTATCAGCAACCTGAACAAAAGATATGAGTTTCTGAGATGAATACACTACTAATTACCTTTTCGCGTTCTTGTACTTCTTGCTCAATTGTCTTCCATTCGCCATTTTCGAGATAGTCCATACGTCTGATTTCAACAAGAGCACGGCAGACTTGGTAAATACTACGTTTGGTATCAATCATGGCCTTGGTCTTCTTTTCGCCTTGGCTGTTAGCCAATTCTTCAAAGTAATCCAAGGCATTGTTCATGTCTTCAACAAATTTAGCAAACTTGGCTTCACTCACAAACATAACATGAAGCAAACACATAAGTTTGTCTTCAAAGAGACCTTCATAGTTGACAAAATAAGGACGAGATTTACCAGCTTTGTCGTCTTCGTCACCACAGCAACCACCACCTTCATCATGTTCATGCTCTTCTTCTTCGTCTTCATGGTGATGGTCATGTTCGTGATCATCGTCAGGTCCGCAACAGCCATCTTGACAACCATCATCTTCATAATCGTCTCTTTGTTCTTCTTCACCTTCTTCAGAGGGACACAAAATGTGTTCGTTCTCCAAAAAGAATTCCCATCTGGGTCTGGTCTTTTCTACTGCTAATTTTTCAAGTTCTTCTTCGGAAGCTTTGGGCTTTTCTTCCTTGAGATTTTCCGCATAAACAGCGAGTACACAATCAACAATAGTGTCTTCACTGATAGAAATATAATCGTTCTTGTTGTCATCATAACAGAAACCATACTTGCTCAATAAGTTGATATTGGGATGTTCGCCGTAGGTGTTAAAGACCTCTTCTCCTTTTTTAACATCGCGGTCAAGAACCATATCGCAAGTATCTTTTTTGTCTTCCTCTTTCTCTTCTTCATAAAAGTCAACACCTGCTGCTTCTAATTCTTCTAAATCAGGCAATTCAGTATCCATCTCTTCATCATCATCATCATCTTCTTCTTTGGCATCACTCATATCTTCTACATCTTCATCTTCCCATTCTTCTTCTCCCTCTTCGCCTTCTTCAGCATCACTGTCGTCCATGTATTGAAGGAATTGATGTTCACAATATTCAAGAGCACCGCATGCATCACATACTTCGAATTCAGTTTCGAAATGAACATGCTCATTCTCTCCTCTGTGATTAAAGATATCAGCAAAAGGAACCAAAGCATTTTCATGGTAAGCATCTACTTCAAAAGCACGAGATGAAATCAAGGTTGAAATCTTGAGAAATTTGTCAAATGAGTAAGGACCTTGTTCAGGATCTACGCCTCGGTCAAAAATATAAGGATGTTCTTCCAAGAGGGGTATGATCAGTTCTGCATAATCTTCTTCAAGATCGCCCTAAGCATGGTTTTCATTAAATGATATATTTCTATATGCACTGGACCTTACCAAATCATTACGGACAGCACTTTCCATTTCAGTACCATCAAACAATGCCTTTTCTTCTTCGCTCCAGAAGATAGGAAGGTCTTCACCTTGATCAGGTAAAGCTTGAAGATAGCCATACCAAGGGGACTGTTCTTTTTGAGCAATTTCGTATAAAACAGCCAAAGCAAGAGGACAACCTCCTTCAAGGTTGGCTTCGTCCAAAATATTGGCAATACCACTTGTCTTGATAGAGAGAATACATTCTTTGGGGATCTTTACCACTAGAAAAAGCTTAGTTCCATAGACAGACAAAGGCTAACACTTTACCAGTCTTGTCTTTTTTGATATTCTTTTTAGCATAGACACCAAAAGAACCGTTGATTTCTTTTATCTCCAAGGCTTCCTTATCCCACTCAATTTTGTTATCATTAAACCACTGCAACAAGAGGTCGAGCTTCTTTTGAGCAGACATATTACTTTCAAATGTAAAGAGAAAAGAAAAAAAAAATCCAAGTGACTAGTTTTTCTTTTTTTTTCTTTTAGCGTGAGTTCAAAAATAAAAGGAAAGCGACATGACTTCTCTGTTTCTTTGACGATCAAGAAAATATACCTAGAACTCAATATAACAATAAGACCAAGAATTTGAAATTTGGTCTCTCATAAACAATTTTTGAGCCTTGTTGGCTGCTTCCTTTGTTTGAAAATAAAATAGCCACTTCTGTTTTTGGTAGGACAATGTGCAACAAAAGTGTCAAAATTAAGAAAGTTTATTGTGTAAAAATTAAGTTAGAATGTAAAAGATTAATGTTGATTGGCAGGTTCAAGAGTAGGTGTTTGGTAACCATTGCTGACAGCATTAGGGCCATATTTTTGTTGCCCGATACCAACAGCTGTATCTCCCATACCAGTTGTGGTATTTGGATCATAAGACATGCCAGTAGTCTTGTCATAACCTTGAGTGTCGTAACCTTGTTGAGTATCATAACCTTGTTGGTTAGTCAAGTTAGAATTGTATGGCTGACTGCCAGTATAGTTAGGATCGTAATCTTGTCTTTGAACATTGTTATTGATCCCACTCGTGCCAGTACGTTGTTGATCCATTACATAGGGCTGTTGCAATGTGCTAGCCTGGTTTTGAGGAGTATGGTTGTTCTGGAACATGGGAGAATGAGCATACATAGGTTGAGTTGTACCGGGAATATAGTTGTTCTTGTATTCAGGCTCAATCTTGGCCTTATTCTTTCTTCGGCCACGACCACAACCACAGCAGCCAGCACGACGGCGGCGGTGTCCAGCTTCAGCATCATTGTAGTGGTTATCTCGTCTGCTTCTCTTGCTTCCACCACAACAGCTTCCACTAGAATAACAAAGGAAAGCCAAGAACAAAGATACAACAGCACCGATAGTGATCCAAAGTGCATTTCCTGCTTGAGCATTCCAAGGACTAGTTCCGCCTGTAAAGCTCTTGATACCGCCCAAGACTAAGACAAGTGCCAAAATAAGTGCAGCCAACATGACCAAGAAGTTGATAAATACAAGGGTTGACATGGAATAACCCCATGCACGACGTTTCATACAGCAAATAGGAATACTCATCAACCAGAATATGAAGCTGAGGCCCATACCGATAAAAAACAAGATAAACATACCCAAGAAAAGACCATTGACAAGTGTACTGTTGGCTTGATAAGTGGCTATAGTGGAAATTTCTGGTGTTTGTGCCCAATTGAAAGCAGGTCTAGGGGAAGCACAGCTTTGGATACCACCACCAGGAGTACCTTGACAGTAATTCCTATTTTCGATTTTGAGTTTTTTGTACAAACAAATTAACAAACAAACAAACAGAGGATTACCATAATGCAACATTATATTGCCGATCTTGATTCCATGCTGAAACAAAATAAATAATATTAAGAAATTGCCGATTAGAAAGTTGGGCTATAATGATAAACAACTCCAAAATAAAGCTGAAAAGCAAAAGCAAAGAGCCCAATGTTGTAAACGTAGGAAAGCACATTGTTTTAAAAAGTAAAGAAAGAAAAGTAAAGATAAAATGTGAAGGTAGCTTGTTAAATGCAGCTAAAAAAAAGTTTCGGATAATGAGAACTTGAGACGTAATCTTATCCAATCGATGGCTCTCTTTAATACAAAGCAAGAAACCCTTGATGTAATGGTGTATCTTCTATGTCATTATCAGAAACATCATGATCTGATTAAATCAGAAGTAAAATCGCTTTACTATTACAGTAGTCCATCATGCTAAGTGACTATCATAAAATCGCATTATATTTTGTCTTTTAGAGAAAAAGGCTTTCTATGATTGGAAATGTACTGAAAAAATAAAATCATATTGCTTGCTGAATTATTCTCAGCAAGATCTGATGTCATTCTTTAAAATGAAAATCGATCAAGAAACAATACAAAGTGCTATTGCTCATTGGTTGTCTGTGCGTCTTTTTGTGTGTGAGTGTGTGATACCATAATTATAGTTGTACCAGGTAGAAATCTAGTACTGTTTTTATGAATCCAAATATTTGGCGAAAATAGTAAATAGAAGTCCTATATTCATTACAATGACCTAGAACAAACTGCTCGCTCTTTCAACTATGTCTATGTTACGTATACATATACATATACATATATATATTTAAAAAATAGTTCTTTTGAGAATTGACAGCCTTAAATAAAAACGACGCTACTATCATTCCTTAATGCTGTAAAGCACTTTCCCATATTATATGTTTCAAAGTAAGAGTTTATTATGGTAATACTTGTATTCATATATAAAAAAAAAGAGAGAGATTAAGCAGAAGCTGAAGAGGCGGAAGCAGATAAAGTAACTGTAGCCATTTCGGTAACAAGAGCAGTTTCTACTTCAACGACAGTGACATATTCTGTCACAGCTTCTGCGCTTTCGAATTCAGTTACAAAGCTTGATGCTGTTTGAACAGCAACGTCATTTCCACTTGCTATAGTAACCACCTTTGTTTCAACCGCAGTTTCTACTTTAGCATCTTTTGCAGTGACGAAAACTTCTTCTTTTGTAAATACTGTGTGTTCCTCTACTGCGGTTTCTATTCTTAACATAACGCCGGGACGAACTAAAGTTGGATTACTCTTGGTGTCCCATAAGGCTCTCTTTCTATAGTCAATATGAGCTGAGCTGACAATCAATGTCAGAAAGGCTAAGACAATGAAGAATTTAAAAAGATTTAAATGTGCCATTTGTAAAGAATAAAGAAGAAAAGCAAATGTTCTCAAATTAAGTATATAATATTTTCGCTTGATACATTCTTATGATAGAGTTGAAGGTATTCCTTAAGATTTGGTTGGAAAATCAATAAAGTTCGGACAATTGCTGTTGTCTTTTCTTTGTGTTGAATTCACCAAATCTAAAATCATAAAGTTTATTCAAGAATGGTGTTGCATATTGGTCTATTTATGCGTGCAAAAAATGTCCATTTGTTACTGTTGGAAAATTTTAACAATTGCAGTTTCAAATCTTAGTAAAGTGTCTAATTGTTGTTTTATCAGTAATACTATAGCCATATCAAAGCATGTTACAGCAAAGAAAAAACCACTGTTGTAACTTCCTAGTTAATAACAAGTAAATTATAAGCCTTGAAAGTGATTAAACTATTAAAAGGTCTTTTGTGCTTTGTCAATCGAGTTAGATCCATCATATAGAGACAGCTGAAGGTAAGCTTACTAACGCGCCAATGATACGCTTCTGTTACCGCGTTTGAAATTCAGAAAAAAATCAGGTCGCGTCTTATTTGTAAGCGCGTCTTGTTTCTACTCCTCTTTTCTTTTTTTACACAAACATTACTACCAAACACATTATGTATGTTATAAAGAGAGGTATGCTACTATAAACCATAACTATTTCCTTTATCAACATTACTATTATAGACGGTACTCAAGAAAAGGTCTTTTTCGATAAAATCAGTTCCCGTATAAGCATCTTATGCGAAGGTCTCGACGAGAATTATGTGGATCCTCCCAAGATATCTCAAAAAGTATGACAAGCAAAACTTGATACTGTTTTGCTGACCTTGTTCTAGGTTGTCACTACCATGTATCCTGGTATTACTACTGTTCAGCTTGACAACTTGGCTGCCGAGATCGCTGCCAACATGACTGATATTCACCCCGATTACGCCATTCTCGCTGCCCGTATCTCTATCTCGAACCTTCAAAAAGAAACACATGAAAAATTCTCGCAAGTAATGCAAGAACTCTACGACAATAAACATCCTAAATCAGGACTACCAAACCCTATTATCTCCAAATCGTTCCTTGACCTTGTCCTGAAACATGCTGAAAAAATCGATGCTGCTATTGATTATCAACGCGATTTTAACTTGACTTACTTTGGGTTCAAGACATTGGAACAAAACTACTTGCTCAAGTTAGGCAATAAGATTGTTGAACGTCCTCAACATTTGCTTATGCGTGTTGCACTTGCTATCCATGGTGAAAATTTAGACTCAGCATTCACCACCTATGACTATACTTCTCGTCTTTTGTTTAGTTTTGCACCTGCTACACTTTTAAATGCTGGTACAAACAGTGGCCAACTTTCAAGTGCTTTTGAAGTGCAAATGAAAGATGATAGCATTGAAGGTATCTATGATACTGTCGCCACTTGTGCCCGTGTTGCCAAATCCTCTGGATCTGTTGGTATGAGTTTCCAAAAGATTCGTGCTTCTGGTTCATACATTGCTGGTACTAACGGTACCTCAAACGGTATTATCCCTATGTTGCGTGTGTTCAATGATGCTGCTCGCTTCATTACTCCTGGAGCCAAAAAGGTCAAGGGCACTTATTCAGTCTACTTGGAACCATGGCATCCTGATATCTTTGAGTTTATTGATTTGTCCAAGCACAATGGTGAAGAAAACCTTCGTGCTCGCCATCTCTTACTTGGTCTTTGGATTCCTGATATCTTTATGAAGCGTGTTGAGGAAAATGGTGAATGGTCTTTAATGTGTCCTAATGAATGTCCTGGTTTAGACACTTCCTTTGGCAAAGCTTTTGAAGAACGCTATCTTGAATATGAAAGACTAGGCAAAGTAAGAAAGACAGTGCCTGCTCAAAAGCTCTGGTTCTCCCTTTTAGATGCCCAGATGGAAAGCGGTATGCCTTTTATGTGCTACAAGGATGCTGCTAATGAAAAGAGCAACCAAAAAAACCTTGGTGTGATTTCTGGCTCTAGTCTTCATCCTGCCACTATGCAATATGCTGATTCTGAAGAAATTGGTTCTGCCAATGTCGCTTCTGTCTCTCTTCCAAAGTGTGTCAATCAAGACCATACCTTTAACTTTGACATTTTGCAAGATATTGTTAAAGTGGCTATCAAGAACTTGGATAAGATGATTGATGTGAACAAGTACGCATTAGAAGAAGCTAAGAAGGGTGGATTTGCCCATCGAGGTGTTGCTTTAGGTGTCCAAGGCTTAGCTGATGTTTTCTTGAGAATGCAACATCCCTTTGATTCTCTTGAAGCACGTCAATTGAACAAGGATATCTTTGAAACTATTTACTTTGCTGCTCTTCAGGCTTCAAATGAACTTGCTCAACAGTCTGGACCTTATCCTTCTTACAAGGATTCTCCTGCTAGCCAAGGCATTCTTCAGCATGATTTGTGGCAAGTTGATGATTCTGATCGTCTTGATTGGGCTGGTTTGCGTGCAAGCATCAAGTCTCATGGTATCCGTAACTCTGTCTTACTTGCTATCATGCCAACAACCCCCATTAGCCAGATCCTTGGCAACAATGATAGTATTGAACCCTCCCAAAGTATGGTGTTTGTTCACCGCGGCACAACAGGAGAAATTCAGTCTGTTAACCCTTACTTGCTCAAACATTTGACCGAACGTGGTTTATGGGATCCAAAGATGAAAGATATGCTCATCCGAGCCAATGGTTCTATTCAAAAGATTCCTTCTATTCCTGAAGATCTCAAGAACTTGTTCAAGACTGTCTGGGAATTGTCTCAACGTGCCATTATTGATATGGCTGTTGACCGTGCTGCTTTTGTAGATCAATCTCAATCACTCAACTTGTTTTCTGTTGACCCCAACTATAGTCGAATGTCTTCTATGCATTTCTACTCTTGGAAGAAGGGTTTGAAGACGGGTATGCAGTTCCTCAAGTCAAATCCTTCAGATACTACACGCTTAGTTGTTTCACAAGAGACTAAGGAAACTGTCGAAGAAGAAGTAGAGAATGTGACTGATGGTATGACTGCTATTGCCTGTTCTCTTGACAACCCTGATGCTTGTGTAAGCTGTAGTGGTTAAGAACCAAAAAAAAAAAAAAAAAATCTGTATAAACAATGATCTTTATTTACAATATTTAATGGAGCTTGGGGCATTGCTTAGCTTCCTTGCTATCAACTTCGATATTTCCGTGAGAATCAATCTTCATAGGGTGGCCAGTAGCCTTCTCATGGATCTTGTTGGCTTCGTCAGCAACTTTCATACGCTCTTCATCAGAAGTAACCTTAAACAGACAAAAATAAGCATTATTTTATAGTAATATCTGACTTACTTGATGGGTCTTTTCAAGTAATTCTTCGAGTTTAGCACCTTGTGAGTTCATGTTAATGTAATTTGATAATAAGAAGAAAAGAAGGCGTAAAATAACAAGAGGACTTTATAGTATTTGTCTGGATCGTAGATTTATGCATTTAGCGTGGGAGACGCAACAATGACATATTGGTTACAACCCCAGAACTTTATTATTATTATTATTATTGAGTAATAGGTGTTTTTGCGTTACTTGCTGGAGTCAAGGCAGACATGTCTTCCTCTTCCTCTTCTTCTTCTGTGCTCTCTTCCATTGGTATATCTGCTGTTTGCTTTGGTTGTTTCGGTGCTTTTTGACTCAAATTTATTTTAGCTAAGCGATCTCCCGAAATGCCCAGTGGGTCACTGACATCCAAGTTTTGTACAATATGGGTTAGTTTGTCATCCATTTTTAAAAGACTTCGCCTCCACTCTTGACAATCACAGGCGGTCTGAAATATTTCTTGCGGTATTCATCTAATTGATTCAAACTAATGTCCGATCCTCCTGTCACCAAAATCACTACATTACAGTCTTGTTCTAAAGAAGGTAAAATGTCTCGAATAATTTGTGTGTAGCATAAAGATAAGCCAGCTCCTGATGCAGCTTCCACAATCATTTTGTTATCCTCTAATATAAGAGTGAATAGATAATATTCGATCAAGCTATTTTACCTGCAAACAGTCGAACAGAATCTGCAGCCATAGCGTCGCTTACAGCAAAAGGCACAACAGGATGCACAAGACTTAATTCAAGCGATTTACTACTGACAGAAGTTGAAGCCAGTCCAGAAGCAATGGTAGAAATCTTGGGTAAAGAGACTAATTTGCCTGCTACTACAGAAGCTTGAAACGCATTACTTCCATGTGTTTCTACTGCAATCACAGGGACTTCTTTCCATCCAATATCTTGTAAGCCTGTAATCACACCGTTTAGTAGCCCACCTCCACCTACAGGGCACACAATAGCTGCTGGTGGCATATCGTTTAATTGTGACTTTAATTCATACACAAGAGTAGAGTGGCCCTCCCAAATAGATTCATGGTCTGAGGAAGGAACATAGACACTACAAAGAAATTAATGGAATGGCTCTATCCATTGGTTGATCTTACCCATTTCTTTTTACTAGTTTTCTAGCATGCGATTCAGCAGCTGCCCAATCCTCACCAAACAAAATTAATTGTGCGCCTTCTAATCGAACAGCATCACAGACAGAACTCGCTGTCTCTTTAGGCATGACAATGATAGCATTCACATTTAATTGCCTGGCACAATAGGCCACTGCTAATACCGTGTTTATGCCTGATCCACAAATCAAATGTATATCTGTCCCTCTTGATTCAACTGCCTTGTAACAAAAGTTGCCAATACCCCTTCAATCATGTTAACACCTACGCACATTGCTACTATACAAACCTCATTTTGACTGATCCTGAAGGCTGTATGTTTTCCATTTTAAAGTAAATATTGCTATTCAAAAAAAGTTATTGTCTTGTCATTCGATCCATGCTTACCAATCCAGCTTGATGCTGAGTTTTGGCGAATGTATCAAGGGTGTTTGTACGTGAAGAGCTTGTATATTTGAGAAACCTTGGATCTCATCGTCAGAAGAGTCATCCATTGTAAACAGAAAGTGAAAGAGACGCGACTTTTTTTCCACCTAAACACGTATCTGAATTTAAAAACGCGTCTTTGGACATGCAAATACGACGCGGAACCGATTTTTATCGTTTTTTATATTTTTACGCGTCTCATGTCCATGGAGGGATTACTGGAAGAAGCAGGCTGTAAATCAGACACGGCAACTGTTGTATTTGGTAAGTGCACGTGCTCATGTCAACATTAGCTCATGTGCTTTAGATGTCGAACCTGTGTTGTTTCGCAGGAAGCTTGGAAATAAACTGCGTAGTCAATCAAGCTTAGCTGATCAGTTTGTGGAAGAACTGCAGACATATACAGAAGATCCAGCTATTTTTAGAAAGTTCTTGTTGCCCTCAACACTTGCTGAAAGTGTGCCTAAGACGTCTCGGTATGTGGCAAAATTAAGCAATGAGTTGTTTATGTTGTTTTGCATAGTACTTCTAACTCAGAGAGCTTATTCAAGACATTGCTGGCTATAGATGCTGTTCAGCCAAGTTTGATTACCTATTTACTTGAAAGACTTCCTGAGTTTTATGATGAGTTAGAGAATGAGTATGCATATCTTAAGAACATAGTCCATATATTCATCACAATCCAATAGTAATTCGAGTTCTTGTACTGCAAGATTGATTTTGCATCAATTGCGATGGTTAGACTACATTGCGCAGCCTGAAGAGTTAACGGGAAAACTGATTGAGGTAATAAGGTATCGAAAGTTAGATATGCTTATACTCTAAAATAGATCATTCAAATCACACCCTCTATCATTCAATATGAAATCATTACTTCTTTACCAGACATTATCAATGACTCTGAACATAAAGTAAGAACGCATTTAAGTACCTACATCAGCTTAATCTCTATTTAGCCTATTGTAGTATACCTCAAAGAACTCATGAATGAGAATTCAGAACTTACTGTGCCTATTCTTGACGCATTATCCAACTTGACATTGCATTCTGAAAGCTTAGAAGATGTCCGAGACACAGTACTTGATAGACTTGAATCAGCAGAATTAGATGACTTAGCAACCATTGTTAAATTTTTGCTTCAGACAGCGACAACGAATACAATTGACCTTGTTATATTGGGTATTCGGCAAAAACTAGACTTTAGGTCACTTGGTAGAATACAACAACAACAGAAAAAGAAACAGAAATATGCTGCCGAAGCTTTGATATTAGAATCTATCAAACTAGGCTTACAGTTTCATAAATTTGTTTGTGATGCCTGGTTGAGATCTATTGTTGCACTAGAAGAACAGGTACAAACCTCCCCTTTATTTTCAAAGACTAATTCAGTTTTAGAGAGAACACAAAGTGATTGATTTTTTAGTGTTAATCATTCTGTATTCAATGACTCCATTGAAGAAAAGAGTAGAGACAATCATTCGAAAAAAAATTATTCAAGGCAGCATTGCTGCTTCCTTGATTCAAGAAACAATCATGCAACATGCTGAAGGTTTAGCAGGGTAAATGAACACTTTGTTATATTTTTCACTCATACCTTGTAGTTATTGGAGTGTTCTTCTTTCATTATCAGAAAGCTTATTGCGTTCTTGTCAACAAAACAATGTGATTTCTCCTTGTGCTAGCACTTTGTATATCACTTGCTTCAAGTCGACAGATGTCTATTATAGACAAGAAATTGTTGGTGCTCTAGTGACACATATTGGCAGTGGTGTTGAAGCAGAAATGAATGTTGCATTGAATGTGCTATTACAGCTTGTCAAGACAAATGTCTCTCAAGTGGCAGTCTATAGTGTTTTTGTGAAGGGTATTTTGGACTACTTGGATAATCTCAATGTCTATCAGATCCGCACCTTGTTTGACATCTTTAGTCTTTTGGCCTTGACAACCGGCAATGCTTCTGATAGCTCTGCTAGTCTATGGTCGGATATTCAAATTGTCATTCGAAAACAACTGTCTAATCCTCGAGAGAAATACAAAAATATCGGTATCATTGCTAGTCTGTCTTCTGTCAAGGTACTTGGGTCACAACAATTATGCCAAGACTATCAAAGTAGAGGTGGTGGCTCTAGTACTCAATCCGAAGGCAAATCTTCTTATATGAATGCCATGAGGCATCCTTTGCTACGACAAGCTACTAACTTGCTTGAACTCGCTTTGCGTTATTCCAAGGAATACCCAAACTGTATTGCTTTTATCTATGATGAATTAGCACATATGTTTGCTGAAGAGAGTATGGATGAACGATTCATTTCTTGGGTCAAGGAAAACATGGCTTCTGATTTTACCGAGTTCTATGTGGTGGCTCATTCGGATGCTTTGGAGTTTATTGAACAGGCCAAACTGAGTCAATACAGTCGACTTATGCCTGAATTACAAATGGGACTTGATGGAGAGGTATAATAATTCTCTGTAGATACTTTGAGCTAACACTCATTAGAATGATCAAATTGCAGTTAAATTCTATGAATTGATTCACAACCCTGAATTGAAAAAGAAAAAATCGGTCATGGCCCCTATGTGCTCTATATTTAACCTGATCCAAAGCTGTGAGCAACAACTGAATCAAGGAAGTCTTGTGGAAGTAGATGCTTTATTTGGTTGTAGTGTTATTTTATTCAAGATTGATGATATTGAAGACCTAAGTACAGAAGAAGTTGAGTACGCTTGTGATATGCTTTTTTATACCATTAATTGGTATGTATGCTCATAGTTGTGCTCTCTACTTATCTTTATGTAGGTTCCGCGAGCTTTTAAATGCTTTTATGTTTACAAAAGAAGAAGAAAACTATAGAACACGGTTGATTTCTCGACTTCGAAATGTTCTTGAAATGGAACAACTACTGAGTCAATTAATGCAGCAATTGGCTAATTACGTACCTTTAGAGTTTCAACAAACAAGTTCTGCAGCTTTCGAGGATAGTTCACAAATTACTCGAAATGAAGAGTCCCAAGAAACCAGTGCCAAACCCGCCAAAAAAACAGCGAAAACAAGTATTATGAAGATCAGTTCTGTTAATGAATTGAGGCCTTATATGAGAGCTTTTCATGTAAGAATTTGCTTGACGTATATTTTGTTTAACCTTTTCGCAGATTCATTTACTTGAAATTCTCAAGTATAATGAAGAATTAGAAGAAGACCGTATGACAGTAAGGAATACCTATTTTATACCAACGCATCATTTATTTTTGTATTTATAGTTTGAAGAAATCAACTATGTCTTGGAAGACATTAAACAAAAGCTTGATATCAAGGTTGTTCCTCCACCCGTTACAGCCTTTGGAAAGAAAAAATCAACAGAAGATAACATTAAATATCCATCATGTAATTCGATTATGCTTGCTAGAATGGATGCTCAGAAATTGATGCAAAAGGTAGATTGCTAATATGACTATTGAACCCTAAATTTGTATTACTTAGGTTGTTGCTTATTTACCAGATATTCTTCAGACATTAGAGAATCTATATTCAGAGATACAAACCAAGGTAAAGAACCGATCTCTATTCTAATGTATCTATATACTGATTGCATGATAGGACATTGAACCGGGCCGCATAGAAGTATGCTTGCTTTAGGGCTTTTATCTATTGTGCTCACTACTTTGTTCATAGGGTTCTGAAGATCTTGTTTTAGCTGTCTCTCATATTCTTAACATCCTCAACAAGTTGATTTCATGGCCTGATATTCAGAATTCAGACAACCAAGAGATTTTACAAAATATTATACGTTCTATTGCAGATCGTATTTCAGGTGACAGTAAACAGAAAAAGAACTCGACGACTCAAGATGAAGATCTTCAACAAGCATTCCGTTATTTATCTCAGTTTGGTAATAGTATACCTCAATCAACGACAGCTGTTCTCTTGTTCAAGATTCTTCAACGTCTGATGACGTTTTCTGGACAAGCTTCTGCAAATTTGAAAAGAGACGCACTTGGTGTCGTCAAGCAAATTATTTCCACTGGTTGGTTCGATTGGCGTGATATCAGAGTAAGTATTTAAAAAAGGTGTAGGTTCTTTTATAACTTTTTTATTAATAGAAAGATATTCAATTCTTGTTTGAACAATATATTGAATTAAGCAAGAATCCTCTTGAAGTACTTCATGATATTGTCAATCGTGTTCTGCCTGCATTTGAAGAGGAACAAAGTCTAAAAGAATATCCATTATTAAGAGAAGACACTTTGATCAACCATTATCAAGCAAGTATTATTAAGATAATCCTAAAACAATAACCCATAATTTGGTTAGGCCGTTATTAATCAAACAGTAAAAGCATTTGACATGCTTAAAGATACAGATCAAGAAGCCGAAGTTGTCCTCTTACAAACTTCTCAAATCGTAAAAGCATTTGAGAGAATTACCAATTATGTAAAGACAAAAGAAAACAAATCGCTTCTTGGTATACTCTTGAAAACGAGCCGTACTTATATTGAACAATTCACAAAACATTCCATACCTTATTTTACTGGCATCTTCAAAGCGCACAGCAATAGTGTGCTTGCTATTTTTAAAGATTTTCAGACCACTACACGTATGCTACAGGTAAAGACAGAAAAAAAAAGAACGAAGCTTGTTGTTAAAATCTTCATAGATCATTTGTTCTCATGTCAAAGTACAAAAAGAAGTGCAATTGTCATCTTATGTCCCGCCATTAAAAAAGGCTTTGGAAATTGTCATTTATCAAGTCAAGATGTTACTGACAGAAAACCGTATACCTTCCTCTGCATTCTTTATGGGTATGTATTTGTAAAACAAAATTCTCGCTCATGCCATGTGTAGGTGCTTTGAAACATAGAGATATGCGAGGTGCGGAAATTTCTAGTCAAGTAAGTTAATGATAAGCATTTTTTTTTTTGCTAACATTGGTATAGATTCCACGCGAGCCAAGTGATAATGAAGAGGAACAAGAGCAAGAAGAAGTAGAGGAGGAAGAAGAAGGTGAAGAAATGAACACAAATTCGGAAGAAACAACTCGTCAGAACTCCCCCGCGACAACAAATTCCTCAAACAAGGCAACATCTGCTCGTCGTGTATACAAGCCAGAGCCAAAAAACAGAGCTAGTCCTGGTAATTCTGCACTTGCTCAATCTTATAGAACATCTAGTGTTGTTCCTTCCTCTTCTGAAGAGGAAGATGAAGGGCAAGAGGACGAAGAAGAACAGGAAGATGACGATGATGATGATGATGATTTACCTCGACAATCAAGTAATAGCAAGAAACGAAAAGCTCAAGAGGATCTAGACGAAATCGTCATTGACTTTAATAACAAAAGCAGTGATGACCATGATGACGAAGATAGCCCTCCCCCTAACCTCTCAAGAAATACCAAGCATCAACAAAGCCAAAATTTGGCTAAAAGAAAACGTTTGGGAGTAGGTCGTTATTCGGCTTCATTGAAGCATCTTTAAATGCTTTTATTCTTCTAAAATATAATAATAAAAAGGCATAAAGGGTATAAAAGTGTTCAGAAAAAAAAAGAAAAATAGCATATACAATAGATCATAAAGCATAAATGATGTGCAAGCCAGTGACATATGAATTCTTAAAAGCGAAATACTTTGCATAACACAGTGCATTGTTGGGATATTATTCGTTATAATGAGGCATTACTTGCTCTTGTTTTTCAGACTTGAGCTTCTTCTTGAGTAGTTTCTCTTGTCTCCTTTTCTCTTCTAATTCTTGTTTGCTTTTGCGATGATAAGGTCTTCTTTCACGTTTGGGTAACACTCTGGCCAGAGCAGCACGTTCTGCAGCACGCTCACGAAGCATACGTTCTCGCAGTTGCCTTTCTTTCTCGATGTTAGCTTTTCTCTCGTTCATAAGTCTTTCTTGTTCTGCTTGTTGAAACTCAACCTTTTGTGTTTGGAAACTAGACAGAAATTTACTTCCATCTGGCATTTGAGCTATAATATGTTGTAGTATTTGACTTTCTCGTTCAGCTAGTGCAATCGTACGCTTTAGATAATGAATATACTCAGTTGCTTTCTGTAAGATAGTTGCCTTGTTGAGTTTACGAGCAACTTCTACACCTTCAATAATCTCGCCTATGGTGTTTTGCTTGCTGCGCTGCTTCTTGGATTCATGACTACTACTATCATCCTCCGAATCTTTAGCATCTGAGTCCTCTTCACTAGACGAAGTTTCTTGGATATCCTCGCCTTTTTTGTTGCTCATGGATCGTTTATCTTTCTTGACTTTGGCCATATAGAGAGCTGGTACGGCGTTCTTTAAGTCCCGGATACGATCATTGATGTTGTTTCGGTAACGGCGCTCAATCGCATTATGCGCTACTTTTCTAAGCTTGAAGTCCGGATCAGGTCCAAAAGACGCTTGTTCTTGTTGACTCTCAAGTAACTCTTTGTTGCGGATAGTAAAATCAACAGTAGCAAAGGCACTGGCTACTAATTGAGAAACAGTAGTTGAACTAGAAAGGTTTCTGTTTGTCTGTCTCCAACGCCGTGTTTCATGATCTTCTAGCTTGATAGCAGTTTCTGTTTAGAAAATGTTTGAATGAGTATTGTTTCATTGTTCATAGAAACAAGTTATGATCTTACTGTCTTGATCAGCTTTTTGTAACTGACACAACGGACCCACTGTTTTAAAAGTCTGCTCAATGGGAGAAATATCAAGCAAAGGAAACAATGGATCAAGCGTTTTGTTCTCAGGTGTATTCGTTAACAAGTCTTCAGATATTGGTGTTGGAAAACCGTTTGTGGGAGAACTTAAAGGTGAAGAATATAACTGAGCTGCTCTTGGATCAATGTCTTGTGATACATTGTGTTTTGCTTTGTCTTTCAAATTCCAATTGAGAAGCATTGATTCTTCGAAGCTAGATTGATGCTGAGGAGGTGTTGGATTAACTTCAATAAAATTATTGAAATCGAGTTCATACAATTGATCTTGTTGCATTTTTTAAGGGACGAAAACAAACAAACAAAGAACTTTTATATGAATTCAATGTTTCCATAAATAAGCATGGACGGCAGTATCACACCACTTTTTGAAACTCAATGAAGCTGATTTCTGTATTTCAAATAAAAATAATATGGCCCCCACCTGTGGGGTTTCGAGCAACAAAACAATTTACAGTTCAAAAACAGAAAGTGTGCAATGATGTGATTACACGACAACGGCATCATTTCTCGAATATAAGCAAATCAATACCATTTGCCATTTTAAATTATAATGAGGTGAAGGGCAGGATGATATTTCATTGGTTAGGTTAATCTTTTATACTTGGTAATTATTGAAGGACGCCTATTCGTGTTTCAAGTATTGTTTTTTTGGGTAGAAAAGCTCAGAATGTGATACTTTTTTTTTTTTTTGTAATTGTTGATGTTAATAGGCCCTTTTTTTGTGTCCCAGAATCAAGGATAAACAATTAAATCAGCCTTGACTTGAAGGTTCAAAAAGAGCATGCGTTGATTATTAAGGAAGAAGGGGGAACTTTTGACTCATAAATAAAATGCATCGGAACTACATAGAGTCTGAGCCGACATATTGTACCACTATGAATGGTTGATCCTGGTAAGCATGTAACACACAGTTTGCTGTCTAGTTCCATACTTGCTCACAGATCAATATATATAAAACATCAACTATGTAAGTTTTCAAAGAAGGGATCAATATATGCTCTTGAAGAATTTGATTGGCAATGCTGAACAAAGTTTAACCCAAACGTGAGTCATTTATAAGTATTCAACGAACGAAATCATTTATTAGTAATCAAGTAGCCGTGACTATTTTCTTTTTACAATTAGAATGCATGTGAAAGCTGAAGCTGCCTAATTTACTATTAGAAAATGTGCAAATCTTCTTGATGCACTGATATGGTTAATATTGATATTAAGCCCATCAAAACAACAGGCAAATATACATGAATATATAGCTATACAAAGTGAGTGAAAAGCCTTTTGATACAAGAATAAATAGGCTAAACGTCTAAAAACCATTTTACCAACATATATGATGCCTTTGGTGTCAATTTGGACAAAAAATAGCAACTTGTAAAAGCTGTTTTTTTTTTTTTTTGGTAAAAGAGAGTTGCTCCAATTTTATTTAAAGTCCTTTAAACGTCAAATGAGAAAAGACTGTGGTATTATAAGAGCTAGGCTAAACGAAAGAAGATAAGCATGTGGTATAAGAAATGGAGAAAAATTGAGGGTTTGAGAGAGCTTCATCGATGCTTGAAATGGAAGGGATGGAAAAGAAAGCGGAGAAGAGGATTTGTGGTTCATATTCAAGGCGGAATTTATCATGCAGGTTATTTGCTAAGCAAAAAATGGCATTGTTTATATCTTGTGAGAAGAATAAAGCTTCAGAAAAAAAAACAGAATGCCAATGAGCTTGTCAGATGACTAAAGCAGTTTATGCAAATATCTGAAAGTCACTTTGGAAAGGCAAATGGAACTCTCTGTTATAGGTGAGAATCAATGATGCTAAATCCACCTTGAGAAAGAGATTAAGTGAGTGCAGAGAAAGGAATCATGTCAGAGCAGCAATGTGTCTTTTTGTGTTTTTGTTGAGTGGAAGCATGCGAAGTACATGCCATAGTCTTGATGAAATGAGTGAATTGAGGACAGTAGCTCTGCCTCTAACGGATAAAATTCTAGAGCATGCTTGTTAAATGGTGTGGAATAGGTTGTAAATGAATGTGTCGCATTGGTGAGGACTGGGGTAACTAAGATAAATGACTGCTTCAGGTGAGGTGCTATCATGCCAAGTGGTAATATTCTGTGAAGCTAGAAAGTTTTTCCATCTTAGGTTGAGTTTACTTGACAGCGTAATGTCAGTAGTTTTGTTGAAGCTAAGCTCAGCATTGGAGGCAAGCATGTAGATATTGATCAATTATTGAAGGCATAAAAGGTCTTAATAGTTATGAAGTAGAACAAGTGTATTATTGGCGTAAGTGAAAACTTTGACAAATGGTAATGAAATGGATATAAAGACTGAGTTAACTAATTATAGTTGTTGAAAGGAAAGTGATAGTCATTTTGTGACACAAAGGATGGTGGATGATGGTTTTTGTTTTCTAGTTGAAAGTTAAAAGCTTGAATATTGAGATTTTGTTGAATAGAACGAAGAATTGAACTAAAAGCGATGTTGAATAATAAATGACTGAGCAGTTCTTCTTATTGAAGACCTCTATGTTGGAGACCTCTATGTTGTAGAACTGTGTTGGAAAAGATGTGATCATTGATGTTGAAACTGATGTTAGTAGAGAAAAAAAGAGAGGTGATGAATTCAATGAGAACATGAGGTATATTAAATGCATGCATAAACTGAACCAGATATATGGGATGAACCTTATTGTAAGCTTTTTCTTAGTTGAGAAGGAGTGCAATGGAATTGGAGTTAAAATAGTGAGTAATAGCTTGCATAAATTGTAGAATCTGACTATTTTTAGCGATGAATTTACCAGACGTAAATCCGGGTTGATATGATGAAATGTATTTGTTGAGATTAGGCATAAGTCGAGCATTGATTAATCGAGTGATAATTTTGGCACCTGCATTAATGAGTGAAATGGGGCGTCAATTTGCAAGCAAAGCGAGACTTCCCTTTTTCGGAAATAGGATCATGCAAGTCTGTAACTAAGAGGTGAGTGCATTATTGTATACCTTGATAGCTAAAGCACCAGTAGGTGGGTGCTGTAACAAAATGGAGAATGGTTCATACGGTAATCCATCTATGCCAGGGCTGCTTTGATGTGGAGTTCTAGCTGCACCATCTTGAAGTTTTGTCAAGGTTAGAGGAATACATAATATGTTATAGATTATGTCTGGAATACTTTTGCTAATAACATCTGCAATATGTTTCATATTTACCTGGTCAGGGCAGTAGAACTGTCCGTAAAATTTTGATACTGCATCTTCCATTTCTTCAGTCGATTGGCAAAGGTTGTTAGTGATGGGGTGAATGAGTGACGACATAAATTTCTTAATTGATTTGGATTCAATAGTTCCCTTGAGGTAATCTGCTGAAGTTTCACCATTTTCTCTCCAGTGTCAGCCAGCGTGGAGTGCAAGGCTGTTGACATAGTCCTCTTGTATCATTGCAATTCCCTTCTCAACATTTGGAAAGAGATAATGTGAAATACGAGTGGCACCATACTCTTTGGAATATTTGTTACACTTTAGTTGAAGGCGCTTCATCAGACGAAATTGTCATACTGCTTGTTGTCTACTGATCTTTGTTGCAGCTGTCTTTGCGATCTTTTTGATCATGTTTCATTGTTGTTGTGGTGAGCAGCATGACTTTTTAGAAAAGGTTCCTATCAGTGAATGATAATCATTCAGTGCAGAATTCAAAGCTTTAACGCGAAGGGAGGTGAAGCGAGTATGTAATCAATAGTTGGCGTAACCGACTCTGCACGACAAAAGGTGGGAATAGGTTGATCATGTTGAAGCGCATGAGTGCATTTTTCGAAGTAACTGGATATTAAGTAGTGCTATTTCAACTAAGAAAGAATGGTAGGTGATTTGAGTGGAGAGTCGTTAGTAAGATGGTTGCAGGCAAACTTCCATTTTGGCCTCAAACCAAAGAGTAATACTCATGAAAATTATCCAGCTGACAACTTTTTGAGCTTTTTTTGACGCTAAAAGAAGAACCAAAGCTATTAACAAGCTTAAATGTTCAAAATGTGCGCAAGGTGCTACAGTTTTTGACAAAGTGTTTACTTGCCAACTGTATTATGAGAATAGTAAGATACGGACAAAAAACCTCGCAAATGTTTTTTCTCACGTTGGTGCAATATCTCACCAGAAGTAATGTCATTTTCTTTAAGCCAATAGGTTCAGAAAGCAAATATCAACATCTTTTGATATTGTATTAGAGTCAAATCGGTGCGTCTTTATGCAGCTCCCAGCAGAAGCTCGGTTTTTGATCCGGCTGAAGTTGTCCTCTATTTAAATCTACGCTAACAGACATCTAGTATGTTCCATATTAATTTATCTCACATTCGCATTATAGAAAGCCTATAATTTTACTTTCTTATGCTTCTTAACGCTCAAAGATAAAGCGCTTTAGAAAGATCCATTGATAACAAAATTTATATGACATCTAGAACGAAAAAAACTTAGATCAGGGCTTAAATGAGTCATTCCTTGATGCGATATTGCTCGATAGCTATACTATAAAAATAACATAAAAACACCACAAAACGGTCATTGTCAAAATATCTATGCATTTTAAACCTTCACTAACATTTATGCCGACATGGCAGGTATGCCATCTGCGTACCCAAAAAAATATTCTTTAGAAAAAAATAAAATCACTGCTTTAAAATTAAACAAAAGTAATTTTTGTAATGACAGAAATATAAAAAGAAGAAAATATTTAATTTTTCGTTTTAAATTAATAAAAAAAAGCTTGTTTTTTATTTTTTTTTTGTTTTAAATTAATAAACGAGTCTACCAGATGATGATCTTACTGTCTTAGTTTAAAGAAGGGATTACTGTCTGGTAGATTCGTTTTTTAATTCAAAACTAAAAAATTGAAAAACAAGCTTTTTTTTATTAATTTTAAGCAGAAAAATTACAAATTTTCTACTTTTTTTGTCTTTGTAAAAAATATTTTTGATTTATTTTAGAGTAATGGTTTTAATTTAAAATAATGTTTTTTTTATTGTTTTTCAGAAAATATTTTTTGAGTACACAAATGGCATATTTGTAATTTCGGCATAACTATTAATATCTTTACTATTTCGAAAAGGCTTTTTGTTTGTGTAAGTTTATCACACTGATCACGAAGGCCTAAGGTGTACGAGTTTCTCCATTGCTCTAAATACATTTTTTTGTAGAGTTATCACTAGCGTAAGCGATGGAAGAATTATGTGCTCAGAGATGGAAGATTTCCTCCACCGACGGAAGAAAAGCGCAATCGCTTACGCTGTGTTGTGTGATTGCTATGCTTGCTATG